GTTAAGGCGGTGGATGAATAGAATGACAATTTGAGCCAAATGTTTTTTAAGTTCGAACGAAAATTAAAATGACGATATCTGTATGTATGGAATGACGTCAGAAAGTGTTAATTCTAGAGTTCTGAATAGAATAGAGGTGTAAAAATGAGATGTTCGGTTAAATGTATTTTTTCTAATTACCACCTTCAGCTGCAAAATATTTGGCCAGGGACACTAAAATTCGAATTTCTAGCTTGAGGATATTATTCTTGTTACTAAATTCGAACTGTGGAAGAGAAACAACTACAGTAACCTAAAAATAATGGCTCTTTATGACAAGGGGGGCCCATGAGAAAAGGGGGGCCCATGGGAAAAGGGGGCCCAAGCGAAAAGGGGGGCCCATGAGAAAAGGGGGGCCCAAGTCAAAAGGGGGCCCATAGGTAAAAATGTGGACTAAGTTAAGATTTACCAATTTTTTCAAGTTTTTCGAATGTTTTTATAAAAATTTCGTACTTTGCGCGTGTTTCCACAAAAATTTGTAACTTCAAAAATAACAGTTTAGGCCGGTTTTTTGCATGAAAAACACATTGTAACTGTGTAATTTGAAGTTATTCAGCTAGTTCCAGATTTTTTCAGGCTTAGTAACAAAAATACAAAAAAATATGTACAAAAAATGGCATAAACTGAAATTTTCAAAAAATTATCAATTTTTTTGTTAGTTTTTGGGTTTATGAAAATTTTTATAGTGGAAAAATTGACTGGAAACGAGCGAAAATCGAAAAAATAATTCCGAAAAGTAAAACATGTTTTCAAGTTTACGGTAGCTGGTGTTGTGTTTTCCAAAACTTCGATTCTTCGTACCAGAATGATAACGTACCAGAATGATATATTATGGAAACTATCATTGAAGCTATGCAGAAATATGATACATATTTTGATTATAAAAACTTGCTAAAATTGAATAAGCAAGAAAATAATAACGACAGATGAATAAATATATTATTTTCTAGAAATTGCTTCGGATGACGTATATCTGTCATTTTCAGACACCATATGAATATACAAAGAGTTCCCAAAATAACGATTGGACTATAAAGTGAATCTACTTTTATCTGAAATGACGTTCTTTATGAAATCATGAATAAAAAATGAGAAAATTTTGAAGCACAGCTGACTCAATTTTTTGGTGCAAGACCACTTAAAGTTGGTGCGCATTCAGGTGTGAAAAATGAAAATGGTCAATTGTAGGATAGAGGAAAGATGATGGGATGAAGGAATGGAATGGAAAATCGAAGAAAAAAAGAAGAATGAGCAAAACAAAAATATGAATGAAAAAGGGGTGAATAAAAAGGGAAAAAAAATGAGAAATGAAGAATAACAAGAGAGAAAAAGGTTGGGATGAGTAGGAGGGGTTGGATGGAGAGAAATCGGATATTTTGGAATACTGGACACAAATGGACAGATGACACACGTGAAAACAAAGAGCATTGGGAGCGAATAGTGAACAAAAAAGAGCATTGAGTTTCGCAATACTTTTTCTCTTCCACCATTCCTTTTTCCAGGATTTTGAGCCAACATTTGGGATATGGCAGTGCCGTCTGCTTGTGTATGCTCCGGAGAGAGCCCATGTGTGCGGAAAAAGGAGAGAAGAGAGACTCTTTTGCTCTCTTTTCCTCTCTTTTGGGAACCGATCGATGCGTTTGTGCGGGGCCCTTTTTCTTCTTCACTTCGTCTTCTTTTTCTTCATCTTATACTTTCCTTCTTCGTCGTCTTAGAGCCGCTGAGCTGCTGAAGACGTTCTTCTTCTTCTTCTTCTTCTTCTTCTCCTTCTTCTTTTTGGCCAACTAGCATTGAAGGATTAAAAGAAGAAGAAGAGTGTGCATCTGAGCGGGCGGGAAGAAACGAGATCGTGCACACGATTCGGTGGTGGCAACGTCGGAAGAAGACGTCATGGAGACAGGAAACGAGGTCAACGACTATGGAATGATGGATTGACAGAAGAAGAGCCGTGAAGAGAAAAACAAGGAGAAGTGAAACGAGGAAAGCTTCCGATATATAAGCTTTTGTTCCTTTTAGGAGTAATTCTGAATATTAACATCATATAGGAAAAATCAGGGCCGGACTCTAGAAGTAAATATTTAACCTGATGTAAACAATAAAATTCGAGGTGAATTTGATTAATATTATTCACGAAGGAATGAAAAAAATGAAAAAGATGTCAATCGTATTTACAGAATATATTCCATGAATATACAGACCAAATCAGAAATTCGAAAATAAAACCGTTCTTGTTCTTAGGTCTCTCGTGTTTGAGATGTTATAAAAAATAAGGTTTTCCGTTGGTGTTGGCTAAAGGATCATTGGAACTTCATAAAAAATAGTTGATTAGCCAGGAATTCAAACTACGGTACTTTTTGTAGAACGGTGTTAAAAACTTTACTAAAATTGTAACTATTTTGTCATGGAATTTCAAAACCCAAAACCTTTTCCACGGACCGAAAGTTTTATAATTCTATGAAATGTATGATCAGAGAAACGATTTCCTAATCCCAATAAGTCATATTTGGAATTTAAGATCGAAGAAACGCACTGACGACACCTTCTCTTTTTTCTTTTTCAGTTAACTAGATTTACAGATTTCATGTTACAAATCTTGGGATTAGCGGTTTTTTGAGACAAAAAAGGGAAGAGCAACACAGGAAAAATGGAAAAAAATGCAACGAAACGATCATATGTGAAGGAAACGAGAAAGGAGAAAAGAAAGAAAAACTCGTAAAAATTGGGGACGGGGGAAACCATTCGGACACATAAAACACAGAAAAAAGGCGATGTATTGAGGAAGAGTTTGGTGGTAAGAATGGGAGAGCTGCGGGCAACAAAAACGGACGAATGCCCCGGAAATAATACACGAGTCCGACATGCTGGAAGCCAACCGATCGTTATTATGAATGCGTTTGCATGCCATCAGTGATGACGTGTCAAGGTTTTTTTGTGTGTAGATCGGGATGGAACAATTTGGAGGCGTTAGTGCCACCAACGTTGAGAACGCTTTAGTGAAGAGATGAGGCTATAGAAGATAATATTGAATGTTGAAATAAGTACGATGGGAAATAGAAAGGAATATTGAATTGCATTACCTATATTCTTAAGACGAGTACGAATTCAATAAAAGATCATTAAGACAGAATAACCATACCCCTTTTCAAGGCTTCTTATTTTCAGAAGAGACCCCAAAAAATTTCCAAATCACCGAAAGAACAACAGAATGTGCAACCTGTTTCAAACATCAGTTGGTTAGCTAGTTAGGAACAACACTCCACCTGATTCATGGTCGCTGAGCTTCTTCTTTTTCTGTTATTTTTTCTCCAGAATCAGTAGGCCGCTACAAAAAAATATTCAAGTACAACTCCTACTTCTTCTCTTCCTTTTTTTTCTTTCTTATGCTCGAGTAATCCTAGACACTTTAGCTATTTTTACCCTAGGTTGCCATCTAACTTTTCTCCCTTCTTCTTATTCATTTAATTAGAGTGCCCTAATAAAAAACTCATCAAAGTTAGAACGAGCCTTTCCTACTTTTTCTTAGGATTGGTACGTCACCAGAGGATCGTTGACGAGAAGATGATGGCTCCGAAAAATAGAAAAAACTGAAAAGAAAAGAAAAACGAAGAAGGAAAGTTTGGTGAAGTGGCAAACGGGAAGAGTCCGTCAATTGTTGTCGAGAGGCGACCTTCTTTTTTGGAGCTTTTTGAATTGTTACAATGACAGAATGTGGTGAAGAGCACGAGGTTGGGACCGAATATTTTATTGAAAATGGAAAAAAAGTGAACAAAGCGAATTCGGAATGACAGACGAGTAGGGTGGTAGTTCAGCTTTATGAGCATGAACAACTCGAGATTTGAAATGAGAGGTTGATAACGAATTTATATTTTTGGCAATCTTGTGGGCAAGAAGGTCGGAAATTTAAGTCTCGGATTACTGTCTGAAATTGATTAGTGTTCAAAAAAAAATCGTCAAGATCATGGCAGACATAAATTGGGTGAATTATCTACACTACTTGGCGTCCTGCTTGTAACTTCTGTGCAGAATTTAACGGGTTCGGCTTTTGGGCAAATATTTTCTCGGCTGTAGTCGGAACATGCCCGAAAACGGCTCTTTAGAAAACGGCTCTATACTCTATAGCATGGTCATATTTAGTATCTGGAATCTGACAAACACTTGACCAGAAGTCAGCAACGCCCGAGAAGGCAAGAGAGAGTTGAATAGTATTGATGCCAAACGGGGAGGGTTCTCTCGAAAGTTACTTGTGCCGTTAATTGGGACAGCCCCTGCTGTTGCGTAATCAGGCTCCAGTTTTTAGGACCGTTTTTCATGCATTGGATATTTGTGTATAGAATCAAAGATTGTTGACTGTGTTAATCAATTACCGAAAATAAATTTTCCTCATATCACCTGTTTTCTGAAAAATCTTATGTAATTGTCCGTTTTCCTCAGGTTCTATCCCTGAGATATATGTTAGCAACATGATTTGGGTATTACAAAACTATTTGCAACAAAAAGGGACAAGAAACCACCGATCATTGTACTTCCTTTAGCAATAACATACAAGATTGTCAGTATCAATGAATGATTGAGTGGTATGACTCATATACTTTTTCGTACAAAACTTACTACACTTTTTTGTATAATTCTAGCTAGCTGGGAGCTATTCTTGTTTGGATCGCTTTTTGAATTAAAAAACTAAACGGTTTTCAATGCGTGCACTTCATTATTTTCTTACTTTCATTATCATCTTTCCGGCCATCTGTTTGACATTTGAAAACGACTAGCGCCTCCCTCTTTTCCCCTTGAATCTCTTCTCTACTCGTCACTTTTCCATCTCACTGATTACTCTTATCACTTGCCTTTGGCCTCTACTTAAACGAGCCTCCATCCATCACCGAATCATTGGGTTTTCTTTTCCATCCTCTAAAACTTTCGCTCCGTTTTGCATCAACATTATATTTCACTTCTTTCCAGAAGCAATGCTCAAGCTTGTCGCCCTCACTCTCCTCGCCACTTTGGCTTCTGCCCGACCACAAGACGTCGATTCCAACAGAATCGTTGCTCTTCCTCAAGATGATTTGGATGTTTCCGCAATTGTATTCGAGAAGATCGAAGTGAAGCCAGCCCCAGCAGTCGTCAGTGTTGATGCCTCTTATGCCTATGGAGTTGATCTTGCTGTTCCTGCCACTCTTGCTCAGATGAACTGCCTCAAGACTTCCAGATATGCTGCTGTTTTCCTCAGAGCTTTCGCTCCAACTGGATCTGGAGTTTTCGATACTACTTCTGTTAACAACATCAGAAATGCCTATTCCGCAGGACTCGGAATCGAGGTCTACATGACTCCACAACCACTTTCTTCTCTTCAAGGATACCAACAACTTGATCTTCTCTACAACGGACTTACCAACAATGGAATTACCATCAGATCTGTCTGGATTCAGGTTCGTAATTACAATTTCACATTCAAATCATTGAGTGCATTAAGGACTCTAGTACACTCACATCTCTTATCGACAAATTTTTCAAAAGAAACTCTTGAGACGATACTGATAAGAACTCCTAAAAGATTATAATCTTCTATCAAACGACTTGTTTCAGGTTACCTCGCCAGCCAACTGGCAAAAGTCTGCTACCACAAATGTTAACTTCATCAACAGCATCGTCTCTCGTGCTAAACAATACGGACTCACCGTGGGAATCTACACCAACCAATACGATTGGAGCCAAATCACCGGAAACTGGGCCACTTTGAGCTCTGACGTTCTTCTCTGGTACTGGCACGTCCTTGGAGGAGGTGTCACTGGAGAGACTCCAGCTACTTTTGATGACTTCCGCGCCTTCGGATCCTTCAAGAAGGCTTCAGTCAAACAATTCGCTCAAGTCGAATCTGTATGCTCTCTGACTGTCAACCGTGATGTGTATGCTGTCGGAATCCCAGCTGCCGCTTCTTCTTCCAAGAAGGCCATCACCGAGAACAGCAAGATTTTTGTTGGAGGAGTTGTCGGATTTTAAATTTAGTTGATACGGATCTCTTCCCTGAATAGTTTTGTGTAATAGCTGTAATAAACTGTGAAAGCTTTACGTGTGTATTAAAGTCTTTTGAATGCAAAAATGGACCGACATTTACGAATGGCTATTAGTCGGAACCCGATTTATTCATTGCTCGAGGGGATCAAAAATGGAGCGTTTCAGGGACGTTTTTTTGTGACAATGTCCCGTCGCCAGAAGACGTTAAAATTAGAATTCAAAAAAAAACTAAAGGCGAGCCAAAAACTAAAACTATGCAAGTTTTTTCCAGAGCAATGTCAAACATACGGTACCGGCTATCAATTCAATTCAATTTATTTGTTTTACTTTTTTTTAGTGAAAAACAGCAAACTTTTCAAATGTTTTTGTAACTTTTGGTCAGAAATTGAGGGCTGTTTGGCTTTTCGACGAATTAGCGGTCCTTGAGATTTTGGTCGGCTTCAGAAGCGCTCTTAGCCGGAACCTTCGACAAGAAATTACCGACAACGCTCGAGTGGGATGTTTGAAAAATCAACTCTGTATTCATATTTTTAATTTTAAATTAGGTGTGCAAACACGTTGTTTCATTGAAATGTATCTAATTCGCAACATTGCATCACCCGAAGAAAAGTAGATAAACATCCTCTCAACAGCTATTAATCGTGTATTAGTACTCTTTCGCCCAGTTTTATCGATTTTCGTTTTATACTACAACCTAGTAACATACTGACAACAGAGGAAAAATACACGATTTATTAACTTTCCAGAGAAGAGATCACAAAATTAAAGCGAACAGTTATTAGTTTCCAACAAATCCTCCAACAACAATCTTGTCGGATTCGTTTGCCTTTTCAGAAGCAACAGCTGGAATTCCAACAGCGTACACGTCACGATTAACAACCATTTGGCAGACAGTTTCAACTTGAGCGTATTGCTTCGCAGACGCCTTCTTGAAAGATCCGAAAGCACGGAAATCATCGAAAGTGGCTTTGGTTTCTCCATTAACTCCACTTCCGAGAACATTCCAGTACCAGAGGAGAACATCGGAACTCAATGTGTTCCATTGTCCAGTAATTTGACTCCAATCGTATTGGCTAGTGTAGATTCCAACAGTGAGTCCGAGTTGTTTGGCACGAGAAACGATGCTGTTAATGAAGTTAATATTGGAAGTTGTGCTTCTTGGCCAATCGGATGGAGAAGTGACCTGAAATTGAAGAGTTCATAAAAACCAATTTTTAATTTTATGACTTTGAACTGATAAGATGCACTCGTTTATGCTATAAACGTCTATACTTTAATAGAGCGAAAATCAACTAACCTGAATCCAGACAGATCTGACAGTGATACCATTGGAAGTGAGTCCGTTGTAGAGGATATCCAATTGTTGGTATCCTTGATAACTGGAAGATGGCTGTGGAGTCATGTAGACTTCAATTCCCAATCCAGCGTTGTAGGCGTTTCTGATGGATCCAACTACGTTCATATCAAACGATCCCGATCCAGCTGGAGCAAATCCACGAACAAAGACAACTTGGTACTTGGCCTTCTTCAAGCAAGTCATGAGTGCTGGACTGGTTGGAACGGAGAAGTCGACAGCATTACCATAAGAAGCATCGTTATTGACGATCTCTGGAGCTGGCTTGGCATCAATTGTCTCGAATCCAATCTTGATTGGCTCAGTGTCTTGGGGTCTCGCAGAAGAAAGAGCAAATAGGAAAGTGAGAGCAATCAAAGACTTGATCATCCTGAAAACGTTTGATCGATTCGACGAAATGAAGAGTTATCGTCTGGTTTATATACCAGACGGCGGTATCTATTTTCTGCAACAAAATGACGAATCTCATAAAATAACGATAGATTGATTAGTCAAAATTAAATGTCAATAGTGGTTTCCGAAGATGATAATTGATAATCATTTCGGTGCGAGACTATACCAAAGTGAAAATGACGCCAGAGTTTTCGGAATCAGAAAACCACACACAGAATACTCTTTTTGTAACTTTAACTTCTTTTGGGAATATTTTAAGCTTTGTGAACTTCAACGTTTTTTTTCGATGGAAGAGGGAAAACATATTTGTTTTTAAAATGATATTTTTATGGAAACAATGAAATTGATAACAAAAATAGTTCGTATTATGCTTTTGTTTTGAATTTTTGAATTCGTCGTCATCAGAAGTCTCAAAGTCCGATTCCACCAACGCGGATCATTTCCTTTTCAATGTGGGAGTTTCCAGATGGAATATGAATAATCTTGGATTTCTGTTGATTCAATATTCCATAAACATTTCGATTAACAATCATTCCACACAACTTTTCAACTTGTCCGAATTGCTTGATTGTTCCTTGTTTCCATGGTCCAAACGGACGGAAATCTTCCAGAGTTGGAATAGTTTCTCCATCAGCTCCAATTCCAAGAACATGCCAGTACCAGAGGAACACTTGAGAAGAGAAATTGTTAAATCCGCCTGTAATTTCCAGCCAATCATAGAAAGAAGTGTATATTCCAACTGCAAGTCCAAGGACCTAAAAGATAACGGGTTGACTAAAATTCAGAAATGTTGATGTATAAAACTCACTTGTGCTCTTTGGATCATATCATGAATAAATTCGATTCTCACAGGCATCGGGGCTTCCCAATTGCTTGGCGAAGTGACTTGAATCCAAATCGAACGAACATTGATTCCATTATCATGCAAGTTTTGATAAACGAGGCTAATTTGATCTCCTCCCGATCTTGTAGAATTGATATTTGGTGTGATATAAATTTCGGAACCGAGACCAGCTGAAAAGAAATTTGGATAGAAGAAATCTGACATTCTTATTACCATCGTATGCATTGTTGATGGTGTTCAAAGCTTCTCTATCGAAATACGTATTCCCCGATGGATTGAGAGCTCTCACAAAGACAGATTTGTAACCGTGATCTCTCAGACAATCCATATCACTGACAGTTGTATGAAATGCAATATCAACGGAATACGCATGAGTTGCAGAGTCTCTTTCTTCCATTGGGATCTCTGGAGCATCTTGGACAGCTGGGATGTTGTAGTCAGGGTCTATGACTTGTTCAACTGGAACCTTCTCAAAAAAATTCCATGGTTCGAAATGATCTTTTGGGGCAACAGTTGGGAGGGATGAGACAAAATGAAGAAGAGCCAGGAAGAGAAGAAATTTCATTGTGAAAGTGAAGACAATGGAGCCGGAGAACGTTTTTATATTCAATGTTTCTTATTGAGTAATCGGTAATAAAGTTGTATTTTTAGGTGAGTGTAGGTGGAAAGAAAACAAGGAATTGAATCTTGATAAGACCTGAGTCATCGTCTGAAAAAATAGTTGAGTAGGGTCAAAAGTTGGTTTACTGTCTTCTGAAAAAAATTGTCCGAAAGAAACATGATACCTAAAAGAAAATCGGAACAGCGTTCTTATGCAATTATAGTTGTTTTGAGTCATTGAGTAAACCAAATGTTGAGCAGGGCTGAGCGAAAAATTTTCGGTACCGAAAAAATTTTTCGTTTTTTCGGTCAGTAACGGAAAAAAAAGATTGACGAAAAATTTTCGGACTTAAAATATTTTCGTAACAATTTTTTCGGTCGGTTGCAAAATAAGGTCAATTTGTTACAAAATATAATTTTAAATAAGGAAAATTGTATTTGATTAACTTGAGAAAAGCAAAAGAACTTCCCAAAAAATCTAAAAAGCTGCAGGAAATTCGAAAATACGTTTCGATTTTAAAAATTATCATTCCAACCCGGAATTTCAGCCGAAAATCGGAAAGTATTTTTTTTTGGTTTTTTCCGGTTTTTTCGGCCAAAATTTCCGAAAAAAAAACTTTTTCCGAATTTTTTCGGAGCCTGAAACCGGAAAATAAATTTTTTTCCGGATTTCTTTCGGAGGTCTTTTTTCGCTCAGCCCTGATGTTGAGGAGAATATTCATCTGACTTTTTATTCTGAGCAGATCCAGATGAATGCTCCAGATGATCGGTCATTAATCTTTCAAAATCGTCAATTTTCCATGATGCCTACTTTCTTTTCTTCAGAAAAAAACTTTCTAGAATACGAAACGAGCCAATTAGAGAAGTATTCAACTCGTCACTTTTTTTTCCAGGTCCTTGGCGTATGTAACACAAAGATCTCAGCAGGTTATCAAATTTTTCCATCTCCTCGGATCAATTTTCTTATTTTCCCATATGTCAGAAATGCAAATTGCAGTATTTTTTCTTGTTTTGTTTTTAAAACCATTTGACAAAGCATGCTCCGCCTTCTCCTCTCTTTTGACGCAATGAGGTCTCACTGGGTGGCCAAAGAGAATTAGACTTTTGTGCTCTCTGACGTCATGTTTTCTACTCATCTGCAACAAAAATTACATTTAACAATAAACGGTAGCTTGCTCTCTAGAATTTTGGTTTCACTACGTCACAAACTACAGCTTCTGTATATTCTTGGCCTGTATAAAATAGACCCGAGTTTCTCAGAATATCCCTTTGACATCTCCCCTCTTTTTTCATATTCTCAATTGTCTTATTACCGAGACAACCGGCCTTCCCCTTGTTGTATACAGGGCTGCGCAAGGGGAATAGAATCAATAAACGTTCATCATGTGATTGGATAGAGCCCATCATCAATTCCCATCTCTCAACAGATTTTTATCCAATTTCTTTGTCACCCACATGCTATTAATCTGATCATCAATTCTCACTTTTTGTATTAGTACCACATTGTTTGTTCTGAAGAGCTGTGTATCTATTCCTTTTTTCTCTCTAATCTCTCTGCTGTCTCAATGGCTCATCACTGGTCACTGACACTTCTTCTTTTCTCTCGCCTTTTCCCCCTTATGTTGACTTCATCTGAATCCTCTCTTCTATTTTTTTTCTCCCCTGTTTCCATTCGTCTCCTTCATCTGAAATGGATATCAAAGAAAAGAAAATAAATTTTCGCATTTCACATTCAACCAGCCAACTTCATTACCGTTTTTGTGTCGTTTTTTTCTTTAGAGACTGCTCGCTTATATCCAGTGAACGTTTTCCAGGTTCTCCTAGTTTCTATGAAACTATTCATTTTTCTTACATTGATATGTTCTGATGTAATCGCACGAGGTGGTGGTGGACGAGGCGGTGGAGGTGGTGGAAGAGGTGGCGGTGGAGCAAGAGCTGGAGTCGGAAGAGGAGGTGGACTCGGAAGAGGTGCAGGTATCGGAGGGTCGGGAGTCACGGGAAGAAGTGTTTTTGCTGGTACATCAAGATCTGGACTCGGTGGATGGAAAACGTAAGATTAAACACATAATCTTTAGTTCCTTCAGAAAGACCGGCCTTTGGCTCGAAACAGAAAGTAGGGCTCTTTTATAGTTTAGAGGTCCAAAAATAAAATTGGGGTCCGAAAAACAATTAGGGGTCCCAAAAAAGTTTAGAGGTCCCAATAAAAATAGAGAACGATATAAACACAAGAAATGTCACAAAGAATTGGAAAAACTTGGAGAATACCTACAAAAGTTGAAATTCTATAATTTTCAACATTTCAGAGGAAGCTCATCACCTGCATCAAGTTATGGATCATCTTCTTTCCGTTCAGCTGTTTTTGCATCATCTTATTCTCAATCTTATTTCACACATTCAAGTCTGACGAATGCTCTGATCATCTCATCTCTTGCTAGACCAATTACGTAGGATTTAGTTGTTTATAAAGTTAACACCTCCACTGATTTTCAGATATGACAATCGTCAATATTATTGGAGTAGCTCACATGCTAAAGAGAAATTGCCTCCAGATCAGTATCCAGCTTTATGTGAATACCAAATTGGACCAGATGATGGACAGTTGCAGAATGTGAGTTTTCAAGATAGTGCACCCAAAATGTCAATCATTTTTAGGTAACATATGCAAATGGTACATCCGCAAGATCTCTTTTCTTCGGATGTCCTGGCCCAATGGTCGACTGTTGTGGAATGTATTGTTGCCATAATACGGGAGAGTATGTTGCAATGTGAGTTTGACTTTTATAAATATGGAATATATTTTCATTTTACAGGGGAGTTCTTTGTGTAATTTTGGTAGCTTTTGTATGCGCGGGATTGTGTGGAAGTTGTTCTGAAGAGAAACAGCGATCTCGTCAATATGTGGCTACAAGTAGAACTCCAGGAACGAGCAACGCTCATGGAATCCCGATGGTCAAAGTTTCACAGGCGTCTACTTCTTATAATTTTAGAAAGTCTTGAAATTTTTATTAATTATAGACAAAAATCGATTAGAATAGCTCATTGAACTGGTTGTGTTTCTATGATCGAATTCTATATATCAATTTGTTTTTTATGCTCACTGAAGAGGACGATATTATGATGAATAAAACTTTAAAATTTGAAAAAGATCAGTCTCAAGTTGAAAATACACTGAATGCATCACACAAAGTTCACAATCGAAATAATGGAGAGATAGAGGGATTAAAGCAATCCGCCTACAGTTTGATGAAGGAGAAAAAACCTGTAATGGAAAGGTTATGAAAAAGAATTTCGAGTTGGTTTTTTTTCATTCTTTTAACTAACTGATCAATACGCATCAGAGGTTGTCTTGAGAATCACTGTTTTATCGACTTCATTTACCGTAAATCCTGTATTAGAAGGGCTTCTATAGTTCCAAGGTAACTTCGGGGCTCTTCAATTAGAGGGGGTCTTTCTATTTTTCCGGCCAGCATCTCCGAAAATTTTCATTCAAAAATCGGTGAATTCTCATTCAAAAAATTCATGAAAATCTATCAATTTCACAAAAATTGAGCATTTTTTGAGTTTCGTTTCTATGAAATTGAGGAATATCCGGAACAGATTTTATTAAAACGTTCGAATTTTTTTTCTTTTGAATTTCAAAGAACACATTTTGAAGGGACTCTCCTATTTTTTCCAAGTCCACCTCGGAGGGCACTTCTATTAGAGGGACCCTTCTCATGAAGGTTTTATGGTTATTCGAAATCTGAGGATTTTTCAACGCTCGAGGGGCAGCAAAAGTCATTTTTTCTCTGTTCCGGTGCAAGCTAAAAGGCTGGACTTTTAATTAAACATTAGATAACACTGTTTTGGCACTCCTGCATCGATCCTTTTGAAATCATTCAGCATGGAATATAATTCTATGAATAGAGAATATTGGTGTATTTTTTTTATACGAGATGGTTAACCGTGCTGACACTGCGATTTTTCCAGAACGTATTTTAAATTTTTTTTTCGCGCCTTTTTTTTTCTTTAGGTCGCAAAATTCTCTGTGTAGCGACTCAGTTATTCATTTTTCAGCATGCGCGTCGATACTTCTACAGTATTCGCGTCAGAGCGCATTTACATTAGAAAATTCACCGTCCTAAAAAATTCACCGTGTGCTGAAGCTACACTCTCAATATTGCGAAAGTATTGTATACGCTCTAATAGAATCTCCACATCCCCAAACCGTCAACTTTAAACCCATATACCTCTTTGTCTGTGAAATATCAAAAAGTGATAAAATACTTGTATTCCCAACTCTTTTAGAAATTAAACTTTAAGCGATAAGCTCTCCTCTCTTTTTTTACTGAATAAGTATCAATTTCTCGCTCCAAAGTTCATGTATCTTTCTCAATTAATATACATAGTTACATTCTACTTTTTCCCGGATATATGAAGTTTATTTGCAAGTTTGCTTTCAAAACAAACACACACACTTTTCATTCTTCGTCTCCTCTCGCTTTTCTCTGTTCGGCGGCACGTCTTCAGGTGAGAAGAAGTCTCTCTGCTTTTCCCGTCGTCCCACAATCCGAAATATGTATCCCTAGACAACGCTCTTTCATTTTTCGTTTCTTTGCTCGGAAATTGTGATTTTTGAGGGCTTAAACGACTGAGAAATCTTTCACAATCAATTTTCAAGATCTTTATGAATGATTTGTTGAGTTTCTTCAGCTTCTCTGCGTTTCAGTTTTTTCGCTAAAGTTTTGATGTCCAGTGCCATCGTTAGGTTTCCGTCGTCTTCCCTTCGTTTTCGAATTTTTATTAAACGGCTGTCGACATAAAATGTGGGACTTCTTCTATTTTTGACATCGTTTTCCAACTATTTCTAACAAATGTATCCTTCAGATTCATGCATGAATCTTTGGCGAAGATTGTGGAAATACCTTCTGATAGCTGTTATTCTGTGTAAGTATCATTTTTCCAGACAATTCAGTCATGACCATAAAAAGTCAAAAAACATAATTCTGAGTAAACAAGGTGTTCCTTCCAGTGGTTGACACTGCTGGCGTCATCATTGAATAAAATAATTTTCTAGAGTCAACAAAAATGAATTTTCAGATGCCACAGTTTTTTTAAATATTGACCGAATACGCACCTTTTCTACCGAATCATCCCTTTTTCAAGTCATTGAAACTCCTTCACATCCTAATTGGTCTCAAAACAGAACATATTCCGCTCAATTCAAAGATCAGAGGCATTCATATCAATTCGTAACGATTCCAAAGAAACAGTGCTCAAAGTGAGTTTCATTTTCCTGATCGATGAATACATAATGAAATGATTTTAGCAATACGAAACTGCAAATCACAATTCTTTCTACTGCTGGAAATTTTGAAATTCGACAGGCAATCCGAGACACTTGGGCGAACCCAAACAATTCAAAACATGTTGAAGTGAGAATTTGAAATATTATCCTAATTTTAGTTTACTTTTTTGAGAACAACGACGTTCGGATATCCTTCATCATATCAGCAGCTCAAAACGAGTTCTTGAACTCTTCAATTCAAAAAGAAATAGAAAAATATGACGATTTGATAGTGACGGATTTATATGAATCCTACGAACTTCTCATTCTCAAAGTTCATGCAATTCTGACCTATAAGCAAAACTTCTGCGAGTCTGCTGATTTCCAACTGAAAATTGATGATGATATGGCAGTTTATATGGAAGGCCTTTATGATAGTTTGAGTGAAAAGAAGCAGTCAAGTGTGGATGCAATTAGTGGTATCATTTGGAGGAATTCACCTCCGGTCAGGGAGAAAAAGCATCGATGGTGTGTTTTTTAAATATGTTCGAGTCATCACTTCCTTAAAATTTCAGGTACGTACCCATGACTCTCTACTCTCAAAAACATTTTCCTCCGTATATCGATGGCCCAATTTACCTGATTGGAAAAAATGTGATTCCCAAAATGCTGGATGCTACTAAAAACTACAGTCAGTGGATAATAGAGGTACAATATTTGTTATGACCAAGACATCAAATAACATTTTTCAGGATGTTTTCTGGACTGGAATTCTCGCAAAAGCACTAAAAATCAGACAAATCAACTGGGCCAACCATTTGCTTCGTTACGTCATTGAATTGGTTCCATCGAGATTGAAATGTTTGAATGGAAAACCGCTGATATACGCTGTCCATAATATGAAAGGACCTCAAATGATTGTAGACGGGTATAACAAGTTAACCGGTGTCAAATGTGAATAATATAATAGAGTGTCGTTTTGCAAGACTCGCGTTTGGGGCAAGATCTTGCGAGTTGTTCAGCAAGACCAGTTCAGCCGCAAAGTTTCATTTCAAAACGTTAAAAAACATTTTACAGCATTCAATTTTCTTTCAAATCTCCGCATACTTTGCGATAAAAAATAATACCTTATTCCCTCTAATAGAAGGTCACTCAAATCGTCCACTTCGAGCTCAATTATCTCGATACGTGTTAGAGATATCAACAGTTTGTCGACCGATAAATATTGGCGACATTATGATAAGTAAAACAATTACGCTCAAGTTTGAAGTATTAGGTGTGCTTCTATCATAGAAAATACGGTATGCAAAAACGAGAAAATGCTGAATTTGAGATTTCGGAAAAATGTTGTGCCCAATATAGCTGAATGGATGAATCTGAGTCCTGCGAAATTCGATGAGTACGATGAGTAGTTTTACTGAACTTGAGTCTTGCGAGACGACACACTAGAATGAACAATAGATTCAGGGAAATTTAAAATGTTTTATTTTTCTTGTTATTATTATCAGAAATAAACTTTCTGAATTTCTTATTATTGCATTGAAAATCTCGTAGAAATTGAAGATGCCTAATGACGATTGAGGAACATAACTGATCTTCTTGGGCATACACAGTATGCGGCATCTGATCCTTGAAGTCCTGGATTTCCTGGAGCTCCTGGATGTCCATCGGATCCTCTGTTTCCTTGTTGTCCTGGTCTTCCAGCTGGTCCACAATATCCATGTGGTCCTCGCTCTCCTGGCTTTCCTGGGTGACCTGGAGCTCCTGCGCGTCCTGGTTGACCGGCTCTTCCTGGTGCTCCTGGAGCTCCGTGTCCACGTCTACCATCTTTTCCTGGATGTCCTGGTTGTCCTGGGCGTCCATCTCTTCCTGGTTGTCCAGCATTTCCTTGTGGTCCTGGTTGTCCTGGTCTTCCATCATTTCCTCTTCTTCCTGGCTGTCCTGGACGTCCGTCTGGTCCTGGTCTTCCAACTGGTCCACATGTTCCAGATGGTCCTGGTGGTCCAGCTGGGCACTTGACACATTCTGGATCGCGTGCTGGGCATGCTGGTGGGGAAATCGTATTGTGATTGTCTTGTCCACGACGTCCTGGAATTCCTGGAATTCCTCGTTGTCCTGGATGCCCTGGTGGTCCTGGTGGTCCAGGTGGGCAACGTGGCTTGGCTGGCTCGCATTGGCACCAGGATGGAAGACTGGCATAAGTGGAACGACGCTTTTGACGGAAGACGGAGTTAAATGGATTCTCCTTAGGCTTGGATGGTGGGGCAACCATTACTTGCACATCGAGCATCTCAACCCAAGCGGCGTCAGTTTCGACTCGGAACACTTTTACTCCATCGATGACCTATAATATGATAAGATTGGAAAATTGTACCAAAAATACTGCTCGTATAAAAAAATGATGAAGTGGAAATATGAAACTAACCTCATCATGCATTTCATTGATAGTGGAATATAGTCCTGGGATGACAACGACACATGCTAGAATCGCAATAGTAGATGCAAGTGATGCAATGCCGACTAGAAGTTTCTCCTCGAACATATTCGTTTTTTCTCAGTCCGAACGTCTTCTCCTAGAAAGGGGAAGTCGTAATGGATGATGCCTTTTTGAGTCGCACGTCTTCGCTTATATAGTATTCCGGAGAAGGTCGCCGCACCAGGCGCAAAATGGGCGGCGACTCCCATACCCCATCTTTTTTACTTTTATCATCTAAGGTTTCTGTTCTCTTTTTTTCTTATCTCATCTTGCTGTTTCGTTTTGCACCCGTTTAAACGTAAACGTTTTTCTTTCCGTTTCTGACCTAATTGGTAATCCTTCAAGCGACCCTTGACGTCGCTCTCTCGAAACCGTTGATAGGTGAAATTGATAAGGTGAAGGTGTAACCGAAGGGAAAATTAGAAGAGATAGATGAAGAAGAAGAGAACACTTTTTTTTGCCCTTTTTGATGACACAATGACCACTTTCTCTTTTTTCGGAAAAGAGAAGAAGAAGAAGAAGAACGGTCAAATTCGAAACGAGAGAGGTAGTATTGAAGACCTGTTTTCGAATTTTTTTCGGATAGTTTCTGTTGATCGTTTGGTTGGCGAGTATGGAATTTCGAGATGATGGCAGAAGGACACAAATTAAAGAAACTTCTTTTAGAAGACATGGAGTACGGTCATGAAATTACACTTGAGTAACCGTTTCCAAAGTAACTGAGTGTTGCGTTTTTCAAGAGGTTTAGTATGTCTACCGGGTGAGAAATAAAACATCAGTGGGTTCAAACCACAAGTTCAAAAAAAATCTGATTCATTCTAGAAGTAACTATTTTAACGGATAAACATTTTTGATGGTATTCAGTTGGTACCATGATTCATCTGATCTTTTACCCGAGTTGTCCAGAATCTGAATCTACCCAGCAGAATCTACCCAGCAGTACTTTTTCTTGTTCTAGACATGTATATTAAGAAATAAGGATTTATTATACACGTTTGGAAGTAAAGAAAAGAAAATCGGTTATGATATTTTGAAGAAAGTTTGAAGAGATTAATGTTTAGCCTTGACGAAAACTGAAGATCTTGGTGGGCAAGCACAGTAGGCGGCATCTGGACCTGGCAGTCCACGTCCTCCAGAAGTTCCTGAATGTCCATCTGATCCTCTATTTCCTGGTTGACCTGGTCTCCCTCCTGGGCCTGGTTGTCCATCTTGCCCTCTCTCTCCATTTCGTCCTTGCTGTCCTGGTCCTCCTTGCTTTCCTGGTTGTCCTGGTCTTCCAGCTGGTCCTGGGAGTCCTCGTCCTTTTCTTCCGTCTTTTCCTGGATGTCCTGGTTGTCCTAGTCCTCCATCTCTTCCTGGTTGTCCAGCGTTCCCTTGTGGTCCTGGTTGTCCTGGTCTTCCATTGTTTCCTTTTCTTCCTGGTTGGCCTGGACGTCCATCTGGTCCAGGTCTCCCAGGTTGCCCCGATGGTCCCGATGGTCCTGCTGGTCCACGTGGACACTTTACGCAACCTGGTTGTCTTTGTGGGCAGTGGATTGGAGCATGAACTTGATGATTGTCTTGTCCACGCGGTCCTGGTGATCCTGGAGTTCCACGTTGTCCTGGGCGCCCGGGTGGTCCTGGTGGTCCTGGTGGGCAACGTGGTTTAGCTGGCTCGCATTGGCACCAGGATGGAAGTTCAGAGAATGTTTGCCGTTTTTGTCGGAATACAGAATTGAATGGATTCTCTCTTGGTTTGGATGGAGGGGAAACCATAACTTGAACATCAAGCATCTCAACCCAAGCAGCGTCGGTTTCAACACGGAAAACTTTCACTCCATCAAGTACCTGAAATTATAAAATGATTCTCGACAATTAGAAAATGAGCATGCCTCTTCATGGACTTCATTGATAGTGCTGTATAGTGATGGGATCACTACCAGACAAGTTATCACAGCAATAGTTGAGGCAAGTGATGCAACACCGACCAGGACTTTCTCCTCAAACATCTTTGTCAGGATGATGTTTTCTGTCTTCTGAACATCTGACATTCTATTTTATACTCCTCGACGGAAGGTCAATTCCTGCCATGCCATCTTCCATTAAAAATGGGCGGTACCACCCAGAAGAACAGCCGGTAGTGGGAGAAGGAGGGCATCATGTTTTCTTTTTTTGACTACCGGGTTGGAAAATTGGGAAGAAAGTGTCGGATGCGATTAAGGAAGTTACTCTAGTGAAGGTAAGATGGAGAATCACAGCGGTGCGCAGATAAGTAATGCGATTTCCATTCAGTTAGGTTTCACTGGTTTAAACGACTTATTTTCCGTTGTTCACAGTAAGAATTTGAATTTCATTTCAGTTGGAGGTGGAACAAAAAACAAAGGAATAACAAAAAACAAGAAGATCATGTTGACAGATTTGCAAAATTATTTTACGGACCAGTATCGAAGGGTACATCTAGTTCTTAGGGTCCATTGATTTAAAGGGTACATGTGATTTTGTGGTACATGCGGACCAAGAAATAATAGATTTTCGAAGAGAGAATTTTGTATTTTGCTGAAAATTATAGGCTTCGGCTGAAACGCCGTACACCCCAAGATCCGATTTGCCCTCTGAACTAATGTACCCGAAGAACTCTATGTACCCACGATGTCCTCTTTTTCGATGTATTCTTTATCAATAAATATGGAATACCTTTTGTAAAAAAGGGTTTATCCAGTACGGATCTCCAAAAAAAATCCAGTTTCAGGTTGAAAGATACCGCACGCAAATTATTATTTTTAATCTATGTGTATTATGATCTTCATCCCTCTGATATCTCCTTCAATTATGTAATCCCAAACCTTGTTGTCTATGTTTATCCCATTTGATTCTCCAACCTTGAACAATCGTTATCCCACCCCAAAAAACTTTGTTCTTTTCTCATTACTCTTATCCAACACATTTTTCCATTCGTCCTTGACCGATCCATGTTTGAATCCGAAACAAATGTTTCTTTTTTGGAATTTTCGGATACAAGATTGGAAAGTGAGATGAGAGAAAAACGATGTAATGGATCCGATTGGAAATCATCTAAATGGAACGGAATGCTGGGTTTTTTGTTTTCGTTTTTGATTATGAAATAGAGAAGAAAGCAGAAAGCAGAAAGAGATGGAACAGCTGTGATAGTGTAACACTATATTTTTATCATTGCTTTTTTGGTGTTACAAAAGAAATAAATACCATAATAGCGATACAAAGTTTTGAAATAGCTGTTTGCACTAAAAACGCGATTTTTACTACTGACACTGATATAAATGGAATGAAACTAGCGAGGGTGTTCTAAAATTTTCAGTTGCGTCTAGATAAGCTATAATTGACTTTTTTGGTCAAGAAATATTGAAGTTTAGAGCTATCTAAAAATCTGTGTGACCATATAAAGAATTCAAAATGTGTTGTTGTTCTCCGTATTCTGTCGGACTGTAGCTGATAATTCGATATTAATAGATTCAGGGGCCGTATTCATGAAATTTACTTTTGTAAATCATTTACTCTCAAAAAATCAACTGAATCATTTACCAAAAGGTAAATGAAAGCGTGAAAATGTACTGAAAATCTTTTTCCTATTTGTAAATGATTTTCCTGTTTTTTAGATAGGAAAACGACTTTGAACTAAAATTTCTCAACTACTTAAAACTGAAAAATATTCATTTTTTGACACATTACTTTAAACTGAATGCTATATCCATTCATGTCATTTGTATCAAAAGTCATAATGTTCGAATTGAAAGAAACGAAATATGTGTTTAAAGGGGGAATCCGACCAAAAATTTTTATTGCCTTAAAATGTTTCAAAAAATATGTATTTTCCAAATATTATTGCGAAAAAATTTTAAAAAAATCCTAAATCCCCGAAAAACGGCGTTGAAAAAAATAGGATTTGAATTCCCGCGCAGTGAGAAACCTAGGCCACATCATCATCATAGCGCCTTTCTTACATGGAAATTTTTCCGGATTTTTTCGGTGTTCATGTCCGGCAGGTAGAAAACGTAAAAAACCACTGTCGGCCACTTGAAAAAACGGCTGTCAGGCGCCGTGGCCTAGGTTTCTCACTTTCAAATCCTCGTCCCTCCTAGCAACATTTTTTTGAAAATTTTTCGCTTTTAACGGCATTTTTCGGGGTTTTCGGATTTTTTCGAATTTTTTCGCTATAATATTGGGAAAATAGACAACTTTTCGAACATTTTGATGCAATAAAAATTTTTGGTCGGAGCCCCCTTTAAAGATAGATAATATCAATGTTACAATACTATTCTTTCCATACATAACTTTTTTGGAATGAAAAGTTTCCAAGAAGTGGTTGTAAACAGCAAACGAAATTGGTACCCCTTTTTACCAAAAAGAGGGTTATTTACCAAAAATTTACCAATTTCTCTTAAATTTTCGCGATTTTCTCGGGTTGACCTCATTCTATTTTCTGTGAATCTTGTGGTAAACAACACAATCATAATCCTATCACTAACTTCTGTATTCACTAAAAACAAAATGATCAAATTAGGGAAGAAGGAACGTCGAATAGTATTCAAGGCCTTCTTCGTCTTCTTCTTCTTCTTGAATTTTTGATTGTTGATTACATATTTATTTATTTCGCAATTCCGACACTTCTTATCCGACCATAGAAGCAAAAAACAGTTTGCCGTCTGTGTTGGCGTAAGAGATATCTGCAGATTTGCAACGTTTTTCTTTTTGTTCTCAACCTAAAAAACTCTCATATCTTCTTATCTCTTCCGTTTCTGTGACGTCGAGATCCATCTGTAACGTCATCATATTCTGGGAGGGTTTTCTATCAAGAATAAACTGGTTTTCACAAATACAAAGGAACGGAAACTGGGAAGAAAACTAAGTAGATGGGGAGGTGCAAGGTTAATTTTACGACGGTGGAGACGTGGAAGACAGGAAAATGAAATACATATAAGGGAAATATGATGGGCATGGAAGAATAAGAACGAAAACTGTAATTACAGATTATTGCCTATTGAAACAAAAAGAACAAAGAGTAATTGTGTAAAAGTGCGCGAGAGCAATTACGGAGAACATGGTTTTGTTACGGAGAACAAGAACACACGGGTTCTGGAATAGCTTGTTGGGTCGGGCCGGGCTGACCTTTTCAGAAAATCTATCTACTGGCTAGGATTGCTCGGAAAACCTTATTCGGAAAATTGGATGTCCGATTTTTTCCAATTATTTCCGTTTTTTTTTCGAAAAACCATTTTTAGCGTACAAGCGAAAAATAATTTTTAGCGTACAAGTTCAGTCTGTAATTAAAGGTTTGAAAAACAGCGTCCCACAACAACAACAGCGTCCCACAACAAAAAGGTCCCACAACAAAAAACTACAGTAACCTAAAAATATTTTATCTCCAGGATTTATTTTCTCGGTTTTCGTGCGTTTTCAGCATTTTTTTGAGTTACTGTAGTTGTTGATGTAGTCAGAATAGTTTTTTAGAAACAAGTCGGAAAATAATCGGATTAATCGTTTTCCGACTCCGATTAAGCCTGCTCCTAACTCATTCTGTGGGCCGTTACAGATTCTAAAAAGCAAACACTGTATTTAGAATCTTTCGATGCGTTTGCAAAGAATTGAAATAATTTTGACAATTTCGGAAATATTCGAACAAATTTCGAGAACATTCTAGTGTGATAACATTCAGGAACCGCTTATGTGAGTTTTGAAATTTCACTGAAAGAAAAGATTAAAATCACTTCTGGAGTTTTAAAGTGAATCATCAATGATTCACCCACATCTTAGTGACGATATCGTCCCTTGCCTTATCACCATTATCACTACCATCAAACCCACTCTTTTTTCTTTTGTGTTTACATTGCTGGTCTTATTTAAGCAACACCTAAAACGATAATGGTGTATTCCAACCAAGGTTTCCATTCCGAGAATAATGATTTTTCAAGTCTTTCTCGCTCTGTTTGCTGTCTGCAATGCTCAAAAACTCATTGATTTGAAGTCTTTCAAAGGACAAACCGACACTCAAATTGATGCAACTGGCCCATATTCTATCTATGTCTCTGCTTCATCAGATGACGATGCTCTTCTCAATAAAATGACTATCAAGAGCTCCGACAATAAAGTTCAAACTTTGTTGTCTCTGAAAAATGCCAAAAAGCAGCAAAATACAGGACCTTTGCAACCATTTGCCATCACCAACAGTGCTGTTCTTTCTTCTTCTTTAACCAATGACCAAATGAGTAAATTGACGGGAACACTATACATCACTACTGCTCAGCAACTTCAGAGTAAGCTGTTTAATGAAGATTTATTTCCCAAAAACCCCATTTCCAGACAACAAAGGATTCTACGTATTCAATGTGGAAACATCTGAAAAGGTCACAATCACAGGGGACATCTATCCTGATGACGTCACTCTTGTATTCTTGAATACAAACTACAAGGATCAACCATTCATGTCATCGACGATCAGTGCATGGAAGCAAGCTGAGGGATCATCTGTTTACATCTACGAAGGAATTCCAAAGGATACTGATGAGAAGGCGAATTCTCAAATTTTCTCCAACCCAGTACTCCTTCAAGATAAATCCATGAAGTGAGATATAGCCCACAAAAACATTTTTCATGGTAACTTTTTCTCAGATTTATTCCATCCGTTGAAATTTTCTCCTTGAACTTGGGTGCATTCTACATCAAATCTCACAAGGGAATTCAATTTGTTATTGAACCAACATTCAGTAAGTTTTTTGTTTCCAATAAACTTTCTGAATACTATTTAATTTCAGACGACATCGACAATTCTGTTACATCTTCGAAGACAACCACTGGATTTTATATGAAACCGATTGCCAATCCTGACAGAAAAGTCACAATCAAAACTGGACATGACAACGACTACCAAGGAATGTCTGGAGTTAATGTTCTCGGCTCAGTTCCAGCAAACGCCAACTTCGGCGTTACTGGACCAGGAAATTGGGCAACCACTCCATCAGAAACCATCCACAGCTGGAGTGCAGCTACAATTGCTGACACTTTGTCCCTAGAAACCACAAACTGTGTAGCTGGAGAAGTATTCGTCCAATATTATGTTATTCGTAAGGATTCTCAAAAACAATTCTTCAATAATAAAATATTTTTCAGAAGGAGCCGAGAATGTGCCATCAACAACCATGCTTCCAGGAAGACAAACGACTGCTCGAATTCAATCAACTACAAAATCTACAGCACTGATTCAATTATTCACTTCTGTTTTGATTCCAATTGTTGGAGCGAGAACTCTTTGAAAACATCTGTCTTGAAATTTGTATTTATGGGTTGTTTTGAGTAATTTCCAATGTTGGGTGCTATTTAATAAATGAATTGATATGTTTCCACATTATTCAAGTTTGACTCTTTCCGAGAAGGACGGTCACAAGGCGGGACCATCGGTCCCAAGTATTTCGGGAACGGTGCCAATGTCGCTTTGGGACCGTTCTTCCCGGAAAGTACCGAAATTTTCCAGTGCTGAAACTATGCGAGACTTACTATGCGAGATTTAATTAGACTATAAATACGCACCAGAATCTATTTTAGAACCTATTGAAGTTTAAAGTCATGCATCTATCAATACCATTTTCATTTCTTCTAATTTTTTTGAAGATTTTCACACTTGGTCACACCCAAAAACAAATTGAACATCCCTTATCTACATATATTTTTCTCACTTTCTTTTTAATGATAACATTTTTTTACAGATTAGTTTTTTATTCAGCTGACATCGACGTTATTATATGTTCAAACACCCAATTAATTCTAGATTCAACAAATCATTCGAACCGATTATGCCCAATGTGAAGTCAATTTTCATCACGATTTATTTATTTTTTGAAAGCTAGAGAAAAATTATCACTAAAAACTGAAAACCCGAAAACGGAAAACAGACGGAATTTGTTCATTTATTTTATCACCGAATGAGAGCATCCAATTGTTTCTTCCGATTTGGATCAAGTTCCGCAGTGGCTAAATCTAGTAACTGCTTTTCTCCGACCTGAAAATAAGGTTTTGGAATGTGAAAGCGGATGCAGGGGACTCTTACAAGTTTAGCCAAAGTCTTTGCCAATAGTTGCGAAGCTTTCTTGTTATCCACGTCAGGTGGACCATTTTTAATACTATCCCAAAGAAGGGGAAGAGCCATCACTTCCACTTGTTTGGGCTTATTTTTGTATGCCAATTTGCACAATTCTGAAATTTTTTCTATAGAAAAAAAAACTGAATCCAAGACAACTTACCACAGTATTGAGTTGTTATGTAAGGTCGTTGTTTAATATTTGATTTTTTGGTGGCTGCAGTCATTGCAGGAAGCAAACTGACTGGTTCAATTGTCCGAATGGTTTGCTGAATACACGTTCTTGCCAGGTGTTTGTGTTCCTCCGATTTACTTGAGAGATGAGCAGTCAAAGCAAATGCTACCTGATTCAGAACAGCTTTCAGGTTGGCTTCAGTCGAATAAAGTCTAAAAAGTTTACCATTCCACCTCATTTGAATATAATTCAAAACTTACTTTGCCATACTCCCCATTGTCGATATATAAGTCTCCATTGCATATGAGGCAACCTTGCTATTGGTATCCCCTAGTCTCGAAATAAATGCTTCAATGAGTCGAGTATCACTTGCAACTGCTTTAGCAGCATGTCCACACATTTCTTCAAATCTCTGCAATCCAGCCAATCTTCTCTCCCATCCAGAAGCAAGAAGATCCGTTCGAATCTCATCTAGATCCAGTTGCAGACTATCCGGAAGTTTCTTCTGAACTCGTCGAGTACTTCCGATTCTTGACAGAGAACCAGAAAGATTTGCAGTAGATTCCAAAGAGTCGACTCCTCCCTAAACATGTAAGTTAAGTTGATGGAAAATATTGGTGGACTCACTCTTTTTTCAACATTTGCCAAAACATCTTTGACAGTTTTGATGTCTGATTCATTTGCATTCTTTTTCATCAATCTATCAAAATTCGGGTCCTGAAATATGATTTTTTAGAATCAGAAAGACACTCAGGGACTATACTTTTGACAAGAAGCACAATGATTGTTTTCCAGAAGTTCGTACTTGAGGGGATTGATCTTTCGCGAACTGAATAAGAACTGGGAGAACACTGCAAAGAGCTGCTTGATTGTTCAGAATCACTGAACTTCCTTGAATCGTAATAATATCATGTACAAAGTTTGCACATGAAGCTCGAATCGTGTTATTTTTTGATCTGTAAAAATATTCTCATCAACTTTGAGAAGTTAATGAACTAACTTGGAGCCAGCCACAATGATTCCTTGCAGGGCTTTTCCAGCAGTTGCTGCTTTGACGAGTTTATTCAGTGAATCCGTTGCATCATCTCGAATGAAAGCGTTCGAAACATCACCAGCTTTATTTAGAAGAACCACACATATCTAAAAAGAGGGCATGTTTGATTCTAAACAGTTATTCTGGTCACCTTCTCCATTTCCGAATCAATTTTTGAATTCAAATTCTGTGCAACTGTTCCAATAGTCACGATGGCGACCCGAGAAACTGAGGATCTTAGATTCTTGCACTCGTTAAGAATTGCGATAATAACCTAAAAAAGTATTTCCTTATTGCGTTTTTCTTTTCTGAAATACCTCTTTCAGATTATCAGAAACTTGTTTCGGTTGTGTTTCAGACAGCGTTGAAATCATATTCAATCCATCAACTTTCTCAGACCATTCATCATGTGCCATCTTCTTCAATGCAATATTCACTGACATATTTGATGAGTCAAGTGACGAATACGTTTTGGAAATAGCACTTGGCTCGCGGTGTGGCTGCAAAAATCATATAATCCAGAAAAAATGAACATAAAATGGGTATACCTTGGACACAGACTTAGTCCTTTGGCCTTGTCCGGAACGAAGAAATGTTCCATTGTTGTTGACACGTTTTTGTGGTTGAGAGACCTAAACAGAAAAAAAGATAACAAGAAAATGTGAAAACGAATTACCGCATGTTTGAGAGGAGGATGAGAAGTAATCGGAAGACTATGATGGCTGACACTTTTCTTTCCCATGTTTGCTGGACTTATCGGTGAATCGAAGTCTGAAAATAAAAGAGTTGAGTGGGAACCGGTTTAATTTATTTGTCATTGATTTTCTAGAAATTCCTTTCGGATTCAGTCAATTCTAAAAACTACAAGCTACCAAAATATGGCTTTGTTGAATTCTTTTCTTGAAAAACTTCTGATATTCCATCTAATTCGAACAAAAAACACAAAGATCGATTGAAATTGTTTTACATCCTAAACATGATTACCGAAAAACCTGTATTAGAAGGGCTCCTCTAATTGAAGTGCCCCTTTGCTATGTTACTATGTGTTCTCCACCAATAGAAGTGTATCTGAGCTGGATTTCAAAAGCATGGAAGTAGGAAAAGCAAAGACTTCACAGAAAAATGATGATGTCTCCTAATAAATGTGCCCCGCTGGGCGACTCCACAAAAAATGCAAGTGTCCCCTCTAATTGAAGTGCTTTCCGAGACCCCACAAAAGTAAGAAGAGCCTGCCGTTCTAATACAGGTTTTACGACAGCTCCAAAAATTACTTGGACTACTCCACAAATATTCTCTTCCATCAGATTTCAGCCACGAGTGAGTTTTATGTGCATAAATTGGTGGCAAATGAGTACTAGAGATCGTGGACATTGTCTTGGAGTACATCACGAAAGGAATGGAGAACTGCCGTTTTGTTTCTCTTTTTCTGGATGCTTCGTTTTCTTTTTTGTCCCCTCCTCCCGCTCACATGGTTACGCATACGAACCAATTCGATGCTTCTTTTTTTTCCTTTTTAGAGCCTTTTCTTCTTTTCTTCAATAGAGCTTTTGTTTAGACTTTGGGGTGCACGGAAGAGAATGAAAACAAAGAAGAGTCAGAATACGTCGGACAAATTTTTTTAAAGAAGAGGATACAATGCACCCACAAATCTACATAGTACCCACAAATCTTATCGAATTTTTTTAGTATGGCTTCTGATCATTGGTCAACCAAAACAATCTTTGTTTTCTAAAATATAAAATTTGAAAAAGGGCTCACCTTGAAACGAATAAGCTCCGCTTGCCTTCGCTGGACGATCGTCGAAATTTCTCGGTGGATCGTTTTCCATTTCATCGGTTTGATGATCTTCGGACAGATTAGTATCACTTCGCTGAAAACGAGAAAAAAAACGAGATGAATTTTCAAATGAAGATCTTACCATCTTCTTGAGATTTCCCTTCTTGTCAATATGATTGTTATTCACCTCTTTTTCTTTTTTTGGTGCACTAAACGACGATTTCTCCGGTGGAGAAATTGGAGGTCTTTTCGGTGCTTCCCATGAACTTGTACTTGAATTTGGATTAGAGGTTGCTGAAATCAAGTAAATGGTGCCTTGGTTGTCTCCACAGATTCCTAGAACTACCTAAAGACAACTAAACAACTACTAGAAAATTCTGAATGGCAAGGTCGATATAACTGAAAATACATAAGCTTAGAAACTCAATTATCTTGTTATGTTCATTAGAATATTTGTATATCATACGTCTCATTCTTCCGTTCACCACAGTGAACATGTTATTCCGATTAGTAGAAGACGTCGGAATCGGAGCAACAGAAGACGAATAGATACGATTCGGTGCAGAAGCTGCTCGACTGACTGTTGTTCCCATTCAGATGAAGCGAAGCGGCCACGTCATAAGTACATTACGTTTTGTAGTGGTCAAAAAAGGAACAAAAGAGGACAGAATATTCGATGAAGCGAGGAGTATAACAAAAAGTAGATATAATGTGGAAAAAAGGGGCGGGTGCTTGGCAACGCGTCCTCAGCCGAAACAAGTGGTCACTTTTGTTATTTCACCTGGTCGTTTTGTTGCATGGGAGAGTACGAGAATAGAAAGGGACCAGAAAAGAAGGAGAAGAAAAGGAAGGGAAGAGAACTCGTAATTGGTTTGGACGGCGGATGGAGGAGACTTCAGGTGAAAATACTACTAGCTCTCAATTTTGACACTTTTACGGCTCACTATTCTAGTACGACGTTTTGTTCTCTTTTCGCTTGTTTTTACTTTGAAAATTTAGTCAAGGTCGAATGCCAAACAAACCAAAAAAACTACTAAACGATTCAAGAGATTCGAAACTCTTCAAATGGTTCTGAACTTGGAAATTGAAAGGCCCCTGTAATCAGAGAGCCTCTTTCAAAATGCTATTGTTTGACTTAAAAACTTTCAGGTTATCAGAGAGAAATGTTCTGGAAATTCCACAATTTCATGGATGGATAAAGAGAAGGAAGTGCCTAATTGAAGTACCCTTGTAATAGAAGGGCCTTCCGGAGGTACAATAGAGAAACCCGCCACACGTTGTCAAAAACAGCAAAGTGATATGAATAACTCGGGATCGCTTTTCTTTTAAATCTAAACGATTCTTTGATATTTTCTACTACTATATTTTTCTTTTTGCTCCGACAACAATACATGATACGAATATCCAGAATACACGTCGCATCATAACAAGATTCTTGTTAGTACTTGCTTGTTCCCACACCTTCTAATCCTAGGAATAAAGCAAAAATCAGGAGACAGCTATAGCAATGGAGAACACATTTCTAACCAGCTTGTGAGAAGGAAAGTGTATTTTTGGAAGAAGTTAGAAAAAAGATGAGAGACCCACCGGAACCTTGTCTTCTCACAAACGAATCATCACTTTTCATTCTCGTCATCACAACTTTCTGGTTGACATCCGGACTAGTATTCTCCGTTGCTTCGTGACTTTTCTCAACTCCGTTTTGAATGCGTGACGGTTGCTGAGCAGGCGGTTGCTGTTGCATCCCGACTACTGGCTTTTCTACGCCTAGTTGAATCATTCGGTTTTTCCGAATACTCGCCAAGTTCCCTGCCAAACTGATCGGGGACATTGTTCTTTCGAAGGGATCTGGTTCGACTCCTCCATTACTAACAATCCATGCAAGATCCGCATTCGAAGGCAAACTCATTTCGGATTCAGCCAAATCGAATGAATCCATCATTGGAGGGGTTGAATACTCAATCAAACCGTCGTATCGAATACGTGGCAAAACCTGACGACGGATTCTGGCCTAAAAATCGGAGATTAGTGGACTCCTGGATGTACGAATTCTTACTGTCACTGCTTCAGCCAACCCTCTTGTCTTCTGATCTTGCTCAAAGTCTCGTACTGCTTTCATGATAATCTCTGTTTTGCCATTCAATAGGTAAGCTAGTACAGACAACTGCTCAAAAGCCGCTAATCTGAAATGAAAAAGATTGTCATATTACTCAATTCGTATAGTCGGACTAGACGAAATTTACCTGACTCTCTTTTTTGGATCATGAAACATCGGAACGATAATATTTACAAGTGGAGGCAAATTGAACTTAGACGGACTGATAGTCATTAATGATGCAGTGTAAATGTTAATCACTTCCTCTCGGACCCTTGAGTTTTTATTTTCCAAGTAGACCCTGAGACAACCCCCAACTGTTTTTGGGTTGATATTCTGAAAATGGCAAAATTATATCATTTATTTTTGTAGCTTGAACGAACCTGAAATAACTCCATAAATGTCATCATTATGATTTGTTTAATCACGGATTTCTGATTTCCGAAATGTTTTGCCACAATATTCACAAACTGTTGAATATGTGCTTCCATATGTCCTTTCAAATGGTGGGCAGTTGCACGTACAATGTCCAGAGCGAGGACAACAACCTGAAATTCGAGACTTGAAAATAAGAACACCAGAAACCAAAACCTTGAAATTTAGATCTTCCAAAACATTAGACAACATTAGAAGGTAGGAATGTAGATGCGGAACCAAACGAGCAATTTCTTCTGCAGTTATCTGATCAACCACTTGTTTCATTTTCTCCAATCCAGCAATTTTCTGATTTGCATCACTATCTTCTGCGATCAGCGCACACACTAAACTTGGAATGATTCCATATCGAAGACGTCGTTCTCCTCCAGATTGTGGTTTTGCTGATGTCCTTAGAACTCCATTTCCTGTTTTCGAATCGGTTTGCTCCACTTTCACATTCTCTGTAATCCGTTCCAAAACTTCTCGCTTTTCCGGTATCAAATTGGAAACTATTTTCTGCCAGGATTCATTTCCGATGAAGTCTGGAAACATACGAATTTTTATTCAGAGTGTTTGGCTTATCTTAATCTCACAGTGAAACTTTTTCATCAGGATTCCCGCTTGTTCTTCACATCCTTGAATATTGGCTGTAGTTGCTAGATTTTCCACAAGACTTGCCCAGTTTCCTTTCACTAACTGAAAACAATTTATTCAGTCAGAAAACAGTGGCAAAACCTACTTCTGGAATCAGAATTGCATGTAATTCAGTAATTAATATAGGTTTCGAAGTGCAATTTGGCATAAAGTTTGCTACCATTTTCTGAAAAGAAAATAATTCCATCTCGTTTAAATTAGGATAAATTACCAAAACTGATTGCAGGGCTTCTGGTTTCAGCCGAAGAAATGTAGAGATCGCTTGGTGAGTGATTTTTCGAACAGTGACTTTGTTGCTAACCAACTTTGGTATCAGATTTGGCATCACATAACACATACAGTATTCTGTCGCCTGAAATTTTGAAATAACGATTCATTACCATGATTTTCACTCACACTCCCAAACGTTGGCATTGCTTCAACGAGAAACTTAATACATTGATGCTGAAGTTCCCACCGATCATCACATACGATCTTATCAATACATTTAAACAGTTCTCCTTTCTTTTTAAATTTCTGAAACCAATCTTCCTCTCGCTTTGCTACTGTCGCTGCTCTGATTAGTGTCTGAAAATTGGAATTTGTTCTGTGAATCAGCTGGAAAACTGAAAATTTTTAAGACAAATAAAAAATATTCTAAGAAAGTTTCTTTTAAAACTTGGTTTTCAAAAAACAACTTACCGTTAGTTTGGTATCGAAATCGTTGCTTTTTAGCAACTCAAGAAAGTCTTCTGGCAGAATGTTCGGCGACGGTAAGCGATCATTAGTCCTTGATAAAGCATCAAACAGTGACGTCATGGTACTGGATTGTTTCCCTCTGGAATTCAGAAAAAAACAGAATGAAAATGAGATCAACAAAAAAAGAAAAAGAGAGTAAAAGAGAGAAAGTAGAAGAAGTAAGGATATCACGAGCGAGTGGGTGGACATGAAAAAGGGGGGAAAAGAAAGGGTGTGAGAGATGAAGAAGTGAGAATGAGAAAGGGAACGCAATGCAATGGAGCAGGAGTCTTCGTAGTCTGGGCAACCGACATATATGGAGTCGCTCTACTAGTTTTGGGAAGCGGAAGGCGCGCGGAGTTTCGAGGAATGTTGATGAAGAGGAGAGAAGAAGGTGGACACTGGACAAGAAGGACTCCCAAAAGACAAATGCATCCGTTTTGGGACGGAAGTGGGAAGCGGAAACTTGGTGATACTCAATTGAGATAGACATACCTTTTTTCAGATGTATATTCCGATTTATTCTAATCCCCAAGTTTTTTGTAATCTTTCCCAGATATATATGTTTTGAAAACAACTAACTCCAAACTAAATTTTCGCTTTTTTGCAATTTCCGTAAAAACAAAGCATTCGCTACCCATTTCCCGGTAGTAAAATTCAAAGTATTTATCTCTCTAACTATAAGTGGAAAATTATTATTCTGTTATTATGGTGGTATGCAAAAATGGGATGGAAAATCCACCGTAATTAGCAAATATTTTTTACTTTCATTTTTTTTCTCGATGTTCGTCCGTTTTTCAGTCAATGCTTTCACTATCAAATGTTTTTATTTTCCGACTTGTTTGAAGGTTTTCAACACAAAATCTGCCGGAAAGCAATGGTAATTGAGAAAATGGACCAAACATGTTAGGTTACTCTGGTTTTCGTTATGGGGACCATTGGCCACGCCCACAAGCATTTATCTTCCACAGCCCCTATTTTTTATACAAGCATAATATCTGAAAATTGGAAAAAAAATCATCACAATTTTCAACAGTTTATCACAGAGAACCACGATGACCAAAAGACAAAAAAGAAAACATAATTTAATCTTGTTATTTCTTCAGATTTTTCGGGGCGGCTGACTCGTCCATTTTGAGCAACCAGTACGTTGTCATGACACCTTTTCCCTGAAAAAAAAAACAAAAACATCAATGATTATTCAAGATGACAGAATGTACTTTAATTATGACTTCTCCACGTGTCTCTGTAGTGAATCCACCGAGAGTCATCAGCATTCTGTTTGCTTCGTCCGAAATGTGAACATGGCCAGCTGAAAAATTGGAACATGACGCTTCGATGGTTGGTTAGAAGTTACTCACGCTTTGAGTTACTTTCCATTCGACTTGCTGTATTTACAGCATCTCCAAAGAGACAATATCTAGGCATTGTGAGACCAACTACACCAGCAACTACTGATCCTGAAATATAGAAAACCCCTTACACTCCTCAACCAAAGTATACTTCCTCTTCTGAATTGCATTCCTATTTTTCATATATTAGCTTGATACTAATAACTTTCTAATATGACATTAGGGTTTCCCAAGAACTACAAACCACAATGAAATCCAACTCGGATATTAATCTTCTCGCCGGGCAAATGAGGAATATTAAAATCCGCCAGAGACTTTACAAAGCACAAAGACATGCTTGCAATGTTTCTTGTGTGCTCATTCCCATTACGACGTGGAACTCCAGATGCAACAAAGTAGCCGTCACCGATTGTCTCCACTTTATACACATCGTGTTGTTCAATGATCCCATCAAAGATAGTATACAGACCATTGAGAAGATTCACAACTTGAAGAGGAGTACATTTTCCCGCGAGAGTGGTGAAACTGACGACATCGGAGAAGAAAAGAGTGACGACGTCAAATGTTTCTGGTTCCACAGTCTGTCCGAGTTTCAGTTTATCGGCTACTTGTTTAGGAAGCATTCGATACAACAAAACATCACTTTTCTTCTTTTCTTCAACCAATTCTTTCATTCTTTCAGCAACTTCGTCTTCCAATGTGGAAGCATACGATTCCAGAACATTGAAGACGTGATCCATCAAATTATCATTCCGATTTGTGTTCATACTTCTCAACTGAGATGCCACTTGCTTAATATCAGGACGCTCAGAAGGTCTTTCTGTCCAACAATCTCTCACAAGATGCAGCTATAAAAAGTGTATTTTGTACAGAAATCAACCCTACGACCAACCAATCCTGGATTGATTTCTATTGATTCATCATGATCCAAATGTGGGCGAGGTGACTGTAATCCTCCTTTCTTCAACATATAGACTATCTCTGGAAAAAGTCAAGTAGGAGTAAACAAGGTGAACGTTTTTCGTGTACCTTCTGCGTCTTCCTTCCGATTTTCTAAATCAAAAACTGAACTTCTGGTTATCAACTCAGCACTGATGATCCCCAAACTATAAACATCTCCTTCTCGACTTCCCATTATATCATCATTTCTTAAGAGTTCAGGAGCCGTCCACAAGCGGTCTGAAAATTTAAAAACCTCTGAGAAATACAATATTTCCAGTAGCTCACCCATTTTCGTATACTGATCATGGGTTCTGAAGTTTCTCAGTCCGAAATCAGTAATTTTCAGTTGCCATCTGTCATTTAGAAGACAATTCTTAGAAGTAAGCATTCCATGGTACTCATGAGATGAATCATGGATCCATGTTAATCCATTCACAATATCTTTCATCAAAGAATAAATGAAGAACCCATCCATTTGAAGACTCGCCTTTCTGATTACATCTGCAAGAGAACCTCTCGAACAGAATCTCCATACTGATAGTAGTTGAGGTGCATCCAGAGACATTCCAATAAACTTATTCAAGTTTGAATGATCAATCAATCTCATCTGTAACATGTCGCTGGCTATTTAGCAGAGATGTCCGGATTCCGGATTACGTGAAATTTTTATATGTCCGGATTCCGAATTCTGGATTCCGAGTAAAAATTTTATTCCGGATTCCGTATTCCGTTCCTCAAAAAAATCACTCCGGACTTCTCTGATATTTAGTATTCTCTCCTTCTTACCTGTCTCATATTGGCGCAAATTTTATTATCGAATAACGTCCGAATTGTGTATTTTCTGGCAGCCACTTTCTCAATTTCAACCTCATTCTGTATTTGAAAAAATAAATAATTTCTAGTTTCTCCAACTTCCGAAAGTGTGGATGATCGGGTTGAAGATATTGTACTTGGAACGCTGCTGATACTCCTCATACTGTGTTCTCCTTTTCCTTTTTTTGCAACCGTCATCATTGATTTGTATGGAATCTGCCAAAGAGCATTCTGTCTTTCAACTTCTTGTCGTTTGGCACTGAATTTGATGTAATTCGATGAGACTGAGAAAACTGAGAAACTAACTAGAAAAGATAGACAAATGCTAGAATTGCACCGAGAATCGTGAGCAAAATTACAATAATGGCAGCAATAAACCATCCCATGTTCTCATAGAACACATTTGCAGGGCATTTTGACCCAGTATATCCACAAACAGGTTCATCTGGAGGTCTGATTCCTTTCCGGTGATACCACACTGCAGTGGCTTCATTCGAATAAAGTTTCGTGACTTCGGCTGATTGTTGGTCAACATCGACAGTCATTATAATGGAAGAAGTATTGTTTGCATCAAGAGTCAACACAAAAAGAGTTGGACTACGACCCCCACTGTCATCAATTACAATTGGACCTCCGACACCTAAATTATGATGCCCGGAAAAAATGTTTTCCAAGAAACCAAACCTGTAAAAGTTCCAACAAGGTACTGTGCAAACTGAGTTCCATTTCTGTATTGAGTTGGAGCAGTTATGAGAACTCTCTCCATAGCCAATCCATAAAGATAGACAGCGTCATGCAACTGACCAGCATAAGTTGCTGCCTGAATACTCAGTTTTTTTAATTTCTTCATTAATAACTCACATGTTGATATTCCTGAGCAGAACAAGCTTCAGTACAGTTGTAAGGTGGTTGCTTCATTCTTCGAATGACTTCATCCTCAAACACTGAATAATTTGAACCAATTTTTCCTTGTCCTTGCATCTGTAAATATTTTCTAAGCATTCCATTCTGTTATTTTTGTCTTACATCAACAATAAATATTGATCTTTGAAACCCGGGAATGGCTTCATGATCGCTTGGTTGAGGTCCGGTACTGTCCACCCACGGGTATCTATAAGATCCATCATCTTGTTGAATAGCTGAAAAATGAATTTATCTTGAATCAAAGTCAAATGAATACTGTTACCGTATCCTTTAGATCTTAAAGACGGAATAATGTAAACGTATTCATCAGTGACAAATCCATTTCTAGCTGCCACAAGCATCCATCTTCTATGAAGACCTCTAGTGTTTCCTTCGTGAAAACATGGAACAATTACTAAAAATCTATAGTTATTTTAGGCATGATTGAATCGGTTTACAAACTTCTTCCCCGGGTAGAAACATCTTTCAAAACAGCCAACAATCCTGCCTCACTGTGATCCATAATCTGTATTGTGTAAGAGAGAACAATATCTCCATAGTATGCAATCATATTTTGGAAATCATCCCTCATTGTTTCACATTTCTCATCATCTCCTTCCAAAGAATACGCATAAACAAACTGATCCCATCCATATTCCAACATCACTTCACGGAAAGTTACAGCCAAACTGAAGTACCTATGCCTCTTAACAATATCAATCAACAGATTTACCTTCTCGATCCAATGGAGATTATTCCAGCGGTTGGGTATCTGGAAGCATCATCGAGAGTAGCTGAGGATGTCATACCCCAAGTGACAATTGGTGTATTGTAGTAAGTGGCCAAAGTGAAAACTGGAATTGCTGCTGAAATAAAACAATACTAAACGGAAATGAATTTGGAAGATATTGGTTACGAATGTTTGTAGTTGGTCCGATTAGAACATCAACATTATAATCCCTGAACAGTTTAATTGCATTTCCAGCAGCAAGATTTTCGTCACATTGATCATATAATATGGTAAATCTGAACAGTTCATATACACTGTTCTAAGATATAACCTAACTTGAAATCATATCCAGTAAGACGATTCTCTCTTTTAATTCTGTCTATGGCAATGCTCGCAGCACTGGCTGATGTTCGGTAACTGATATAAGGACTGCTTCCTTCCACATTCTGAAATCATCTGATTGTATTCTTGAACCCATATCAGCCACTTTTTGAAGTACATCACAATGTAAAAATCCAAGATGAAAAATATTTCCAGGAGGTTGACAATCGACCTAAAATCTCGGATTTCTCTTCGAACACTTGTTCACTGAAGAACGACCCACCGTAGCTAGAAATAACAAAACCGCCGTAGTCGGGTGCATTTATAAGGAAAATATGAATAATGAATGAGTGGGCTGCGTACAAGATTCTAACTTATATTGAAGCTGGAGGAAAACAATATTCCTTCTTGTTTTGACTTTTTTATTAGTATTCCAGGCTGTTCCATAATCCGACAGGCGGTATCAGGGGCTTCATATAGATGAGTAAGTTGTTTCTATGCTTTCATTTATTTATGTATTCATGAGATCTACGCAATAGGACAGATTCTGTGTAATCGATGAGTACATTTTAAGTGCTCGCTCATCGCTTCTCAGAATAACAATTTTCGAATTGCCTCGCAAAAAATGAACGGTGGCCTAGAATACGACTCCATGGACTAATTTAGCACATTTTTGATTTTTGTTAAATCTATAACATACAATTTTTTTTTCTAGAAAATAAACTTAATTTCTTATCAGAATTGTGATGCAAAAACTTTTCCGACTCGGATCAACTCTTGCCAGGTCTGCTGTCTCCATCAAGCCCACTCTAATGACTTCAAGAGTGACGCAATTCCGTCCTTTCTCTCAAGGATCATTCGTTTTTGAGATCGAATCTTCAGATGATTTCAATGAGAAGGTAATATTTTTTATAAAGAAATCAAACAAAAAGTTAATTATTAGGTCATCCAGTCACCAGTTCCGGTCATTGTCGACTTTCATGCCGATTGGTGTGGTCCATGCCAAGCACTTGGACCACGACTTGAAGAGAAAGTATGTTGATCAAGATAAATTACTGAAAATATCTAAAACAATCGTTTCCAGGTCAACGGACAGAGTGGTAGTGTTCTTTTAGCAAAGATCAACGTCGATTATGCTGGAGAGTTGGCAATGGACTACGGAATCTCTGCAGTTCCAACAGTGTTTGCATTCAAAAACGGAGAGAAAGTGTCGGGATTCCAAGGAGTTCTTGATGATGAGCAGCTCGACGAATTCATTGAGAATATCCTTGCTGACTAGCTAACCTTTATTTTTATTGCCAAAACTAAAACGTGTTAATGAATCGGTATAGTTTATGTTTTTAATAGTACGAATAGAAATAAAATTCAATGAAACCGATTTAACATCCAGAGAAATACACAGAACATTCGAAATAAATACAATCGCGATGTCATTTTCTGCCAGTCTGCAACCATTTTGGCATTGCTGATTTCGCAGGAGGACCAGAACTTGGGGCTGAGAAAGTAGAATCCGTAGTTGTTCGCTTTTGTTTACGATCATCGTTAACAGTCGAGTTGAATGGTATGAATGTTTTATTAATGGAGAGCCATTGCGATGCGATTCTATCCGCCTCCTCTTGTCTCACTTCACTGACATTTTGGACAACATCAGCTGCATTAACAGTTTGACCTCCAAATGTAGCAATAAGAGTTGACTTTGGTGCAAGTTCCAAGTCCACAAAATTCTTAACTTCACTTGTGACAACTTTCATGTTGGTGAACATCAGCTTCCAGTCAGATCTTTTGAACACACTTTTCAAAAAGACATCCAGCTTATAACTTTGCTCATTGGTGTTGAAGCAAGCTTGCAGAATGTGTTCACCGACATTCACACGGACCACGGTATGTTTGTACGCATCAATTTTTAATTGCCTGTTTTTCTTGACCAAGTAATCCTTTGAGACGAAGCTGGCCTGGGTTTGATCACGCCTGAAAATATCCAATTGGGTCTATATCATAAGAATTAAGTAAGCATACACAGCTTTGCGAAGGTCTTTCTGCATATTTCGAACATCATCCAATCCAACTTCAAAAAACTCTTCCGTCTCCATCGGTTCTTCTGCTTGTACTTTCGATCTGAAAACGCTCAAAATGATGCTGTATCTTCAGTATTTAGTGAGTACCCTTTCTTGAAGATCACCGCCTGTCTGTCACAAGAGTCTCCAAAAACTTCAGCAACTTCTTGTTCCTGTTCCATTGCGATGTCAGCTCGTGTGCGAACCTCCGCGAGAGTGATTCTACCTCCATCGGCCAAAGCATTCACCATCGCATCCATTCTGGACTCATGAGAAGAGCTTTCCAACGAGTTGTTTGTACGTTCAAGAAGCCGATTCAATTCCTCCAACCTCATCGTATTTTGCTGAGCTGGACGTGAGAATGCAGGTCCATCGAAAGACCACGAGTTAGGATCTTGTTGAGGCACTTCTCGAAGAACATCACGATTCCTACAATTGTTCGTTGACTGGTTTAAGACATATTTGACTTACTGTGGTCCAGATGTATCGATTTCGACGTTTTCAGGTGCATTTGTTTCTGGTATGATCGCTTTTAGTTGCTCTTCCTCTCTTTTCTTTCTTTCATCCTTATCTTTATCAAAGGCTTCCTGTCTCAACTGTTCCAAACGATTTCTTTCCTCATTCTCTGCTTTCAACTTGGAGAAATTCGCATCCATAGCCTTCTTGCGATCCATTTCCTCTTTCAATCTTGTTTCCATTGCGGAGAGCTCCTCGGCGTTCAGCTTAACGCGCATGTATCTGATGAGACATTTTCCAGTTGAAACTCCTAGACTTGACAGAGAATTTACAGCCAATTCAGCGCCCGTATACTTGAAACATCAAATAATTATAGGTTCTTGTTCTGTCCAACTCACCCGCTTGTTCATGTAAACGACGCATGGAACGGACCCATCGACTGTAGTCGCCAGATCTTCTCCAAATTCAGCAGTGAAATCTTTGAGAACATCTAGAAGCATAACTTTCACATTGACTTTTTTCTGATGGCGAGCGCCTGATCCAGATTGAATAGCTAAATCAATCATAGCATTTTCTGATGAAGCTTCTTTTTGAATCATTTCAAGGGTAGCATTGTTAGGGATTCCAGAGAGCCGAAACGGTAAAGATGGATCAATGGGCTTTCGAGACTGAGTCTGAAGGCGGTGCCTGTTCACTTCGAATCCACTTTTGAGACAAGCTTCTTCGAGCACTTGTCTTATCAGCATCATAGGAGTAGTTTTAACTTGAACCCGTTTAGCGTTCGGACATATAATCGTCAGACAACTCATCTGGAAATTATATTTTTCTTTTAAACGATGGATTTATGATTTTTCGATGAATGTATATAATTGTGGCGAAAGACCCTGAGTCCACATTGGTGGAAGCAAAAACATTTGTAACAATTTGTAACAAATATTTTTAGAACAAAAATGAAAATTTAACAAAATAATTCAACAATAATCAGTAACATGATCAGAGTTGATCAATAAGTTCCTTTGACAGGTCATAACAGGAAAAAAATGAAGAAGAAAAAGAAATAAGGTTAGTTTGCTTCTTCGACGGCAGCAACTTCTGTAACTTCCACTACTTCCACTACTTCGGGGTTGGCCTCCGTCAGTTCATTATCATCCTTATCTTCTTGCTCTTCGTTTTGCTCCGCACCTTTTTGCGATTTAAGTGAAGCGTCGCGCATAGATTTCTTGCCCATGTCGTATCCAGTCACTTCACGGAGAGCAACTGTAGCGTATGATCCAGAGCTCAAGCTGAATTGAATTTGCAAAGCTAGTAGGGGTCCTTTTTGTTCCGATTCTGGAATAGCACGCGTCTGTAGACCATCTTGGAGAAAGGCTCTTGGTTGCTCATAGTGGATAAACTTCCATTTGAGCTCCTTAGCTTCGACAAACAATGGACGAGATGACTCCCCGAGAGAGAATTTACTGAAAGAAACTGCGTCAAAAAAGAGTGTGGAATGAAATTCTTACTCTCGCAAGGACGTAAAACTAGCTGGAGTTAATCCGTCTTCCTTGAGTAGTTCGCTGATCCACTTAGCGCCGTAGCTATTCTCAAATGCTGAATTTTCTCCCGGTAGGGCGATGTGGATGTCATAGTGAGTGGAATGTTCGCCAAGTGGTTTTCCATCTGCTCCGACATCACTTTCATGAACACGAGTTCCATACTCCTTCACTCGTCGAGAAGCAACTTTGTTCCAAAGAAGGCTTTGATACGCATGAACGTAGAGACTGCGACTCTGAATGGGAATAGCTTCGGTGATGCATTTTTGCCATGTGCCGCCACGTGTCAGACACTTCAGGATCTGTCCTTCAACGGTCGCAAACGCTTGAGCTCCTTTGAGTTTGGAGAATGCCTTTCTAGCATCGCCAGTTTCCGTGAAGCATTTGACAGCCCATCCAACTTGACCGTTTTCCAAATGATCTGTAATTTTTAATTATCTTTGAAAATTGGTGAAAATGCTCACCTGGCATGGCATTTGACAAGATCATCCTCACAGCTCCTTCCCAGTCTCTCTTAGCGATTGCCAATCCGATTTCAGCTGTGGTAGAGCATCGTGAGCCAAATCGCTGAGTTCCTAAAATATGTTTCTATGGTGAAGCGATAAATTAGCACCTTACCAAAATAGTTCAAAAATCCAGTATTTTGGAATGTTTCCAACCTCTCATGCAACGTAGGCTCAGAATCATTTGGTAGGTCTCTCAGTACGATACTAAAACGGTTTCCCCAATGACCTCCCATCTTCACTGGCTCATTTTTGTATTCGCATCCAAATACTTTGATTCCACGTAGTCTTGAGTTCAAATCGAGAATCTTGCTTTCGAGAACTTTAGTAACGCTGACTCTCTGAGCAGTAACTCCTCTTTTATCTTTGATTCCGTGAGTCTTGATGTTGTTTGGTCCAATACTGTAAAGTTTATGAATTAAAATAAAACAGCGGTTTATTGAATCTTACTTCAAAAACTTCGCGATCAGCTGACACGCATAACTTGTTTCCTTGTTCTCTTTGCACATAGTGAAATGGCACTCTTTTGGGATGTTCTCATCCCAATTCTTACGTTTCCTAGTGCTTTGGGTATGTCCATGAGACACATAGATACCGTCGTCTTTTGTTTCCGTAATCAATTTCCCTGAGAATCGTTCTCTCACGAAATGGTGAATACTCTTTCGTTCCTCTTTGGTCAGAGTGTCGACTTTCACTAGAACCGGCGTTCCTTTTGTAGAAAACCGTTCTTCAATAGCCGCGAGAGTTTCATCAGAGATGCAGCTTGGTTTTTCAACACTCTCTTCAATTTGCACATCCTTCGATCCGGTGCTTTCCAGTATGACATCAGGAGATGGGATTGATAGGACCTTGCCATCATCTGAAGTTAAAGCTATTATTACGGAGAGTGTAGCGGTTGTGTAAACCTAAAATTTCTTGGACGATGAAGTCCGTGTACATTTCCTTGAGTAAACATGGGATCGGAGTGATTTCATGTCCACTGGCATATTCGGTTAGACCAAATTCGGTTTCCATCTTAAACTTTATTCAAACTATTTGAAGGTAATTAGGATGAATATTGAGATTGAGCATACAAATAAGTGAATTATGCGAAGAAGTAAATGCAAATAAACAAGAACACAATGATCATTTATAAAAGACGACTTTGATACCGTCTACGGTAAATCAGAAGCGCTGTGTCATGAAATTACAGTCATCTTTGAAACCGAATTGAGAATAGAAAGGAAGAAGCTCTGGGACACATTCGAGAGACATTTTGTAAACACCAAGTGACTTTCCAAGCGAAACTAATGTTTTCAAGAGAACAGCTCCAAGTTTCTGACGACGCATTGCGCTGTCCACGACGACATCTTCCACTCTACCACGGCTCCCCGCATCATGAATGAACTTCATTTCCACAACCAAGCTTGCTGATGCAACAACTTTCCGAGTTTCCGTATTTTCGATGACGACGATGTGATAATTCGGAACAGAAACTCTCATGGCCTCAAACCGCTTTTCAAATGCTTCTTGGTCAATATTTCCAACAGAAGTGAGCTGACCGAGTAAATCCAGATAGCCTTTCGAGAAATCATCCTTCGCCAAGGGACGAATTATGAGATTTTCAGGCATACCCGGAGGAACATGAGGAGCTAATACAGAAGCATCGAAAACTGACGACATTAGTTGTCTGAAGAAAATGATGATAAATAAATCCAAGAAGGGATGTGATAACTTTGGTTAGTAGCTTTTTGCACAGAAGTTAATGATTAATGAAGACAAAACCTAAAAATTTTAAAAAATATATGAAAAATCTGTTATAATTTTTCATAAAAGAAGGAGAAAGAAGACGAAAATCGACAAAAAAGTCGGGTTGAATCTCAAAAAAAAACAAAACAATTTCGCAAAAAAATTCGGCTGCGGCCACCCTCCCCGTGTACTCCACTCGGACAAACAGAATAGAAAACTTGGGAAACATATTTTTGAACCTGCTCTTTTTTTGTAAACTTTTTAAAATGCTCCAGCTGCCCATCATCTGCCCTCGTTTTTTTTCTATTTACTTTCTCATCGCGCACTTATACACTTGCAGCTGCCCTCTCGTTTCGTTTTGCGCCTTCTCTCCTCAGAAAACCAACTCTCTGCCTCGACTCCTCCCCTCCCAAAAATGTTTCCATTACTCATTTCCGCTTTTTTTCTGCTTATTTCTTCGTTGCCCATTTCTTCTTTTGGTATTTCTATTATTGCCAGTCTATACGAAAAGTCTTCTCATTTGTGCGTTTCAGAATGCTAGAAAATCTATGGGAAGTGCGACAAGCACTACCCATCTATCTTCTAACGGCAACTATCGGACTTGCAGTCTCTTGTTGTTTTACGTTAATATGCCCCCATGTGTGTAGGCTTATACCAGCACTCACAACTTACGGAAAAGCAGCAGATCAGTTGGAAGAGAACTCGCTTGTCGCCAGGATATCTGTACCAAAGAAGTGAGTGTTGTTTCCTTAGATGTTCGCATCATAAAATTTTTACAGATGGTTCAAACATTTTTATGCCCTTGGTCTGCTAACTCTACTTCTTTGTCTTCATTGCATCCATTCGTTGATTCATAACCCAGACTTCCTTCCAACGATTCCCATCAAATTCCTCACTATACTCACTAGATCCTACAGTATACCACCAAGTCTGTTTGTCTCTTTTAGAAGCAAGTTTCATAAAGCATAGAATTTCAGTTGCACCCAGTACCGCAGTTCTGGCTCTCCTACTCATCACCTTTCACGTAGCACGTCGTCTCTATGAGACTTTGTTCGTCAGTGTCTACTCGGATAGTCGTATGAACGTATTCCATTACATCGTTGGAATAGTTCATTACATCATTCTTCCTATTTCTATCATGTGCGAAACGCAAGGAGTTATTACAAAGAGTAAGCACACTATTGCTCCTTTTTAATCCCGGTATTTGTTTCAGAAGAAATATTCCATGTTTCTGTAGATGACATCACCTTGACTCAATGGGCTGGCGCCGTTCTTTTCTGGGTGTGTAACTGGAAGCAACATCAGATTGCCGAACAAATAGCCAACACTCGGAAAGGTCCAAGAGGACTGATTCGCAATTATGCATACGGTATCTGTTTCGGAAGATGGTTCAATCTGGTCTCATGCCCTCACTTTCTCTTCGAAATATGCATCTACTTATCGTTGTTACTTGTTATTCCAACTGCCTACGTTTATAGGGTAAGCAGTTAATTCAGATCTCTCCATACTTGTAATCCGGGCCTTTGCCGGGCCTTCGCGGGCCCTGCCATAGCTTCTTTCAGAATCAATGTTTTCAAACCAACTCAATCAGATATGATAGAGCTCCACGACTGCTACAAAATGGTATCATTTGGAATATTGTGTCTTGTCTATGAACAGAGTTACAGAGCAAAAGGAACAAAAAAAGCAGGCCCGGCCCGGGCCTGCCGGGCTATGAGCGAGAAAAGCCACTTTATGATCTGTAACTTTGTTCATAGATAAGATACAGTATTCCAAAAAATACCTTTTTGTAGTACTCGTGGAGCTCTATCATGTCTGATTTAGTTGGTTCAAAAATATTGATTCGTAAAGAAATTATGGCAGGGCCCGGCAAGGCCCGGCAAAGGCCCGGATTACAAGTATGGATCTCTCTAATTATTCTGAAATTTTCAGTTTGTTGTTCTGTTTGTTTGCGTCAACCAGACGTTCGCTGCATTGATCACTCATTCCTGGTACCACAAAACATTCCCAAAGTATCCGAAAACCCGCAAAGCTCTTATCCCATACGTTCTCTGATGATCTTCTTCTCCCCAGTGCTTTAATTTCATTTTTTCCCTGTCGTTTCGCTAGATTCTTGTCATAAAGCTAACTTTATTAAAATTTTTAAAATATTAATGTTGAAAAAAATGTTCAAAATAACTGTACAAGACAACGGATGTGGAGAGGGTCTGATAGGGGCGGAAAAGCTTTTTTTTCAGTAAGAAGGGGGCTGAGATGACCCGCATCGTGATTTAAATTTTTGTGGATGAAAAGAGACGGAGAAAAGAGTTTAAGAGGGGGGTTTGCGAGTGGTTTGGACCCGCGTTGAAATGAGGAAATTGGTATTAAGAAAAAAAGGTGATTAGACACGATTACACCGGATACCGATGCTTCGGTGTCAATGGTTGTGTATCGGAGATGGGAACATGACCAGAAGAAGAGATTGTAGATGGGGCTGTCGACGTGTCACTCCTTAAATAAAAACCAAATTGACTATCAGAAGCTTCTGCAGAAGTATCAGTTTTCAAGCATTTTTCGTCAGTTAGAAATTCGAAACTTTTAAAAGATTACAGTTCAAAAAACTAACATTGTAGAGAGTAAACTATCAGATTGGTCATCTGAATTATGAGAGTCGTGTCGGATGTGATTAGCTGTCGCCTTCAGAAACTCTTCCCCACTTCTGAAAAACCAATATTTGTTTTCAAGAATAAAGCATCAGAACTCACTCGTCTCTCGTATCCTTCCAATCCACTAATCTTGGCATCGATCCAATTGTTTTCGATGCGGAGAGTCTTACTGTCGATGTTCCTCCCGATGCGATTTGGCCCACTTCGTTGAACTTGTGTAGCTGAAAAACATTATAAGTTTATTTTTTCCGAGATTCCAAAAAACAAGCCTTATTGCTTTTTCTACTCCATTTGTAGAGAAGCATGAACACAATGATTAGGGCAACGACGCTAAGCGACATAAGAGAGACTACGATCAGAGACGTGGCAGAGCTTCCACTTCCATCATCGATTTTTGGACCGAGTGATGTTGGGAAAGCTCCCGAACCATTACCGTATCCATATGGACCCCACTTAGCATCTGAAATTGTTAGTTTAGAAAAAAAGGCTGCACTAGAAGATTCTGTACCTTTGCATAGAGGACAACAATGTCCTTCAATGGGAACTGGATCATCACAATGTGGGCAAACCATTTGACGACAGACAGTTTGCCCGCCAGTCACACATGAGCAGTTCGAGCATCTTCCATCTTGCCACTGTTCCCCAATCGAATAAACGGATGACTGATAAGAGCATACAGCAGAAGTAGAAAGAGCATCGGAGCACACTGGACAACACTTTCCTTTGATGACGAGTGGATTTCCACGACATTCAAGGCTATCGTCACAAGCTTCTTTATAGCAATCAGCAGATCCTTCAGCAGAGCAAACACATGATGTACAGTCATCTTGACGCCAAGAAGAGCCCGTAATTGTATAAAGCTGATATCAGAACACAATGGTTTTAGACTTACCAACGATATGGGCTGTTCCAGAATCATCTGTACAGACAATTGTATCGCCTTTATCGTTTTTTGTATTCACTACTTTTTGTTCCGGGCACACCGGACAACAGTCATCTTCATTCTCATATTCGGGATTCGGACACGCGATTGGTGGACATTCTGTTGTTCTACAGAGGACATGTCCGACACGACAAGTACACGAAACACATGGGGCCAATTGCCAAGTTTCTCCATCAGTGAATAGTCTTCCGGTGCCTGGTGACTGACATACTGTATGTTCATGTTTTTGGGCCGCCAACGAATTACTCGATTTTGGTTTCTTTTTCTGATCCGTACACGATGGGCAACATTCTTCTGTAAATTAGGATTAGAAAAGGAAGAATACTCAAAAGAGCTTACCCTCTTTTTGCACCCAATTCTCATCAGCACAATCCGATGGTTTGGATGGACACGAAATCAGTGAACAGAATTCTTGTTTATTCTCACAGAAGCAATGTCTACATCCGTCACTCCACCATTCTCCTCCATCTCTTACGATTTGATGACCGTCGTTTGAGAACGAAATGCACCTGAAATTCAGTTTGAGATAAATGATACCAGTTGTGAAACTTTGAGCCAATTTATCTCGGTTCCTGTGAAAGATATCAAAAAGTGGTCGCCAACTTGATGTCATAATTAACATTTTGTCAGTTGAACATTTTAAATATCTTCAACAGGAAATTAGATATATGAGCTCAAAGTTGAAGGTTTGGGTGCATTCCATTAGGGGGTTTATGGTAAATGGAGATGAGAAAATGGTTTACTTTTCACTATGATACTCGGTTTGTTGCAGAGAGCCGGCTCCAGGTTTCATTGATTTTGTTGTGCTTGGCTTCTTATCCAATTTCGATGAAGCTAAAAATTCGCAATTCAATCTAAAAATCATAATTTTCTCTTTAAATACCTCGACACTTGCACAACGAACATCCCGCTGAATTCGTCTCGAATCCATAGAGACAATGCTTGTGACACTGGTGAAGAGGTGGACACTTTGAACATTTGCATACGGTGCAACCATCTTCGTCTTTTAGGTATCCATGAGCACATTGCTTTTCGCAATTCTCGTCATTCAACTCTCTACATCTTGGATTCGTAGGCACCTCATCTGGAAGACATTCACACACGTAGCACCCAATGTTGTCTCTTCGAAGGCCGTTTGCACACCTGAAAAGCATTTTATTTATAATTCATTTTTATGAATCATTACCTCAAAGAGCAAAGTTCCAGCGATGGGCAAGTTGCAGGTGGGCGAATGATGGTAGGCTCATCACAAACTGGACAACACTGTCCTTCTACTTTTCTCGGATTCTCACAATCCGTTTTGCACATGTATTTCTCACACATGTGAGCACCAAGTTCAGAGCAGGTACAGGAAGTGCAGTCATCTTTTTGCCACGTGTCACCTCTTTCCAGTTTGGTTTGATTTTCGGTCTGACATCCTAGACAAACGGGACAGCACTCTCCCGTTGGAATTCCGATCCAAGTACATTCTTCTGTAATTTTTCGAACCCTCTATTGATAAAAAAATCAAGAAACTTACGATTGATTTTTGGGCACGCCATCTTGCTGCAAACAGAAACTCCTCGAAGACATTGACATGTTTCACAATCATTAGCGTGCCAAGTTTCCATTGGCTGTCTTTCAATGTTATTGTGTTTACAGGTAGCCTTCGATTCTCCAACAATGCAATCCCACTCATCGCAACATCTTCCTGGATAGCCTGTTCCTTTTTTGATTACACTGATCACTTTTTTATTTGGACATTGAGCTGGGCGGCAGATGGATCCACGGCATTTGCATGCCTGTCTTACAGGACAACATCCTTCTTTTGGAATCATATCAGGAGGCCGGAAACTATCGGAAGGGCATGGTTCTTCATCTTGAATTATTGGAGGACAGATCACATTGTCGCATTTCTTTTCTGAAAAAAACCAATTTTGTGCGCTATGAAACTTGAAACACTATAAAATTTGTACATATTGTAAGCCGGGCGCTGTCGGGCCTTAGACGGCTATGCCATGGTTTCTTTCATAAACTATATTTTTGACCAACTAAATTGGATATAATAGAAATCGACGAGTACTTCAAAATGATACTAATTAGAAAACTGTCTAAGAACAATTACTGAGAGTCGAAAATATCGACCGCGTAGGTCAGGCGGTTTTCGGTCTGAAACTTTGTTCATAGACTAGATAAAGTTTTCTAAACAGTATTATTTTGAAGTACTCGTAGATTTCTATCATATTTTTAGTTGGCCCAAAATATTGATCCTAAAAGAAACTATGGCTTCGAAGGTTCGGAATTTGTAGACATCATCCGAATAAAAAGCAAACTTTTTGACTGTTTCAACTATTCATACATTGAAGTGATAACTTTGTGAATCTACTGTACCTTTCTTCTGGCATTCGTATACTGCACAACATTTTCCCGGAGTATCTGATCCCTTCTCTACCATCACGAGTCGTTCTTCTTTTGTACAAGTTGGCACGGACGGAACACATTTCTGTAAAGATATATCCTCTCGTTTGTATTTTGATATACTAGGAAAGATGGAGATCTCTCTTCAATTTTATGCTCTTTCTTTTATAAACTCCCCTCTCTTTCAAACAGTGGCCTCGATACGTCAATAAGTAAAACAAGAAGGAAAAAATAAGAAAGGAGAGGATTCACTAGAAAAAACGGATGGCTCTGTTCGGTTTGTGCACTCATCGGTGGGTGATGCTCGGGAGGACAAATAAAACAGTTACATTTCGACGAATCGAATGAGAGAGAAGAGTCAAGAGAAAGTGCAGTGTCTCACCTTCTGATCGCAGTGACATGTTCCTGGCTTTTGACAACAGTTTCCTGGTGTGGACGATTCGGTGATCAGCTGAGAGTCGGGAGGGCATCCTTTGTGGAAATATAGTGGACAGTTTGCTTTCAGACACTCGTCGTGCATCCTTTCTGAAAATTGGTTTCCGTTAATAATGGGGATTCAACTTGATGGTTTTTGAGAAAACTTTTGAAATACAGTATATCCTCCAACCAGGAGTCCACACAAATCGTCAACTTTGTCCTCCATTATCTCGATTTCTGTGAAAAATATCAAAATTTTGTCAACTGATTGGTGATATTATGATAAACAATTTATCAGGTGACTTATTTTTGATACCCACGACTGGAATCGAGATAATTGAGCTCAAAGTTGACAGGTTTGGATGGGCTTATATTAGACGAAGTACGGTAATTGGGATCGTTTTGAAGAAAATAGAAAGAAGTTTCCAATAAAAAACGTTTTTCTCATCCCTACTGCAACTGAATTATAGAACTTGGTTAGTTATATAAGTTATATTAACTAAATTAGAAAATAGATATTTTGGATCTAAATGATGGTAGGTCAGTGATGGTTTGTTTGTGGAATTACAGTTGTATGTAAAATTTTTCAAACATTTTTTTTCGAAAACGGACTTTAATATCATAACATCTGTTTTATTTCCACCCACTAATCATTAGGCAGATATTAATCATCCATATGGTCCTCACAACATCATCGACCCTACTACCGTAATAGTACCCGTCCATTTTTTTTCAATTATTCTCTATTCTAACGCATTCCAAGAACGACTACTAATTATAACCCCTCTCCAGATGTCGTTTTTATTTGTAACACAACAAATTGTTGCAGCAGATGCGCTCAGACCGACGACATCTTCCTATTCCCTTTTTTTCGGATCGCGTTCCCGTTTGATTGATTAATTTGACGGCTTTTTTGGTGTTGAATGAAACTGACAAAATCGACGCAAAGACTAAACGATGGGCTCATAAAGTTGATGGGTCGTACGAGGTGGCAATTAGAGGATCTTCTCAAGAAGTTGACGATTCGAATGGGACAGATTGGAAAAGAGAGTTGTCCTTCGTATGAAATAGGGCAAGCGAAGAAAAAAAAGAAGAAGAAGTAGAGGTGCCGGAAAATGGAAATTCAAAAAAAAAAGTGGCAGAATTCCCACCTAACCTTTTTTGCTCTTTTTGGTATTTGTACGAACTTTAGTCGAATAAAAGACAGTGAAAAGAGAGTTCAATTAGGATAATTATTCGCAAATAGCAACTGATAAGAATGTGTAAAATGTTAGTTGACACTAGAGATTACGGTATCTTTTGAATTTCAAACTTCAAAAGAACCGAATGAGAGAGTTTTGAACTGATGGGGAAATACACTAAATCATATGATAGGAAAAGACAAGAAGCGATATAAATTGAGCTGGATGAGAGCATCAAACACCAATAAAGAAGAAACAATGCGGTGGAGAAAAAGAATGAAGAATCGGAATACCGTCCTCCTCTCACTCACTCGGATGTCTACTTTTTGTGTTTGTTTTTCTCGCCACCTACCGGTGAAAAAACTCTCTCTATCTTTTTTCCCTCTTTCCTTGGATCATGTGTTCGGAAAAAGAGCACCCAAGAGGAGGTTATGTCCCAATGGGACAGATGATTGAAGCGACATGAAAGGGGTGAGATTGACACTGGAAACAAAAAAGAAGACACTCAAAAAAAGAAGGAGGAACAAGAAAATCTAAAAAGAACAAGGAGAATATATGTTGCAAGAATGGCCGCCCAGAGGGTCCGATGTTTACACGATGACAAACGGGCGACTCATTTCACGCCTTTTTTGGTTTTCGAGAGTGTACTCTCTTCTGAGACAATGGTCCGAAAAAGATATGTTACTTGGTTCAAACTTCAAAAGCTGAGGGTGGAATGGCTTTGAAAGGAGTTGAGGATATATCTAGCTTCCAGAACTCCTACAGTATGAAACCTTCTGAAACAGATGATTCCCGTTTCACATGCCACTAGTGGACACTAGTAGCATGTAACACGGGCAAAGGGCAATTAAGAAAGTGTAATTTTAAACTACAGTAACAAAAATAATTGTTCTCCCATTTCTCTCAAGAACCGAACACCAAGGAAATGGCATTCGGCATATGTAAACGAAGTTAACAAATGGAGACGTCGGCACATTGCAACGTCATGATTCATGTGTCACAGAAGAATAGACGTCACGGACAGTTCCTGCCGTTTGTCAACAAAACTTCCATTTTCCTGGTTCCCGCCCTCGTTTCCCATTGCCACCGATTCTTTGATTATTCTGCCCTCCCTCATTTTTCTTTTCAGTCATTTTCAGAGGAATTTTCAAGCACACCTGATCGCTCCGTCCGGTTAGAATTGACGGATGAGAAGAGGAGAAGAAAGAAGAAGACGCAGGCAATTAGTTGCATTCCCGAGCTGTAAATAAAGTGAGTAGGACAACGAGGATTAGAGCACAAAAGAGAAATCACATGGACGAAAACACGAGAACATCTGATCAGGTGGGGGATAAGCATGGGGACAAAGATGAGAAATTTGAGAAATTTTGGAGATGACATGGGTCAGTTTCAGGAGTTGGTCATGGGGAAGAATGGCAACAATAAACCATTTGTGATGCATTTTGAAACATATGCAACCTATTTCAATTCAAGATTCTAGTTTGATGAAAGTGAAAACTTCAGGAATTGAGAAATGATGTTTTCAAGTATACAAAAAAAACAAAACTCTAAAAATACCAGAGGCTCTTTTTTCTAATAAGAAGCTCAAATCCTAATCTCCAGCAGACGAGGGTCTTACAAAGAAAGAAACTCCTAATTCGGCATACTTTGCCCAGATGATTTACATCTTCTTTTGGCAGAAAAGAACTCCATGCGACACTGGAGAAAGTGGGCGGAGCCAAGGGACAACGAGAGGGAAAGAGAGAGGTTTCTTTGGCTTTTCTTCTTCACTGCGTTCTTTTTTCGCTCTGCGCAATCGGTTAGTCATTCATTCCGTTTTCGAATTTTCTACGTTTTTCGAAAGTTTCGTTTTTTTTTTGGATTCTTGATTGGAAGAAAATGAGAAGGCAAGAGAGGTTACGATTTGAAAAATATTGGCCAAGGGAAGGATAGGAATTCGGAATACGAGGATTGTTATGGTCATATGGAAAGAAGAGAGGACAGGAAAATTATAATGCTCTGGAGAATATCTTGATTCAAAAAGTTACAACATTAGGATTTACTAAGATCGCCTGGTTATCAGACAGTGCCTTATTTCCTCTAACAGAGCCTATTCGAACCGTCAACTTTGAGTTTAATTATCTCGATTCCTATGAGAGATATCAAAAATTTGTCAACAAATAGAGTATTGCTGACATTATGATAAATAATTTTTCAGTTGACAAAGCTTTGATATCTTTTGCAGGAATCCAGATAATTAAGCTGAAAGTGGGCCGATTGACTGGGTTTCTATTAAAGAAAAAAAGGTACTATCTGAAAATCCGCTAATCTTGGGTCCTATTTTTCCAACTTTGTGAATCACAATAATTTCCAAAAATTTGGACAATTAGAGAAATATACAGTATGCTTTGAATGACAGAGTGCTTTTTCAGAACTTGTTGAATCATAACTCTAATTTATAAAACGTTTTATTGAAAAATGGTTTTCATGGAAATCTAGAAAACCCCAATTTTGGATAACTTTGTTTTCAGACGGTATCATTATAGGTTTCCAGACAATACCTCCCATCTGATATATTTTTACCAAAAACAAAACCGTTTGGGATGAATTCTCAGGTAAGTCCTTCATTTTCCTGCAAACCACCTATCTGGCGGACAACAACAGAGAGGACTTTTTGGTTAAAAAACTGCGGCAGAGTGAAGTAAAGTAAATAGAAATTGTATATTCGGAGAGCAGGGTGGATTGCGTCGTCCGGGGCTTCGAGCACACACGAGAAGAAGCCTAGCACAAGAAAAACCACCATTTTGAGCAGTCGTTTTTGTTGCTCATTGGGAAAGAAGAGAATGAGAAGAATTGAAAAAAAGAAGAGGAGGGCCTATCGTATTTCAGCAATAAAATAACTTCAGTAGTAACTCTAGAGGGTCGCATCTTCCGGGCTTCCCTTTTAATTATAAAATTCATTGAAGAAACCGAAGACTGCTCTGTCTTCCGATGAAAGATTAGACGTACCTTTGCAACGACTCGATCCATCAAGATCGCTGTCCTGATGACATGAGAGGTGTGAATCGCATACTAGACCTGGCTCTCCACAAGTTTCACCGACTTGTCGAACGCAAATCTGAAGAAAAAACCTTTTTGTTTATTGTATGAACATCATAAAATAAAAATGGAGACCGCACAAGCTTTTTTAAAGCAAAGAGTGATTATTCATAAGTTTTTTTTTATTTGCACTGTTTAAGACAACTGAGAAAGACATATTCATGAAAAACTTTGAAGCCATTTGTTGGTAGAAGTTCTAATTTTATAGAGTGCTTATGAAAATCGAAAAGTGAAATTAAGATAACCTACCGTAAAAACTCTAATAGAATGGTATACCTCCACTTTGAGATCACTTATCTCGATTTTTATAAGAGATAACAAAAATCTGTAAACTGATAGTGTTGGTTATAATATCACCAAGATTTCATCAGTTAATTAATATTTGCTATTTCTTACAGAAATTGAAATAATTGAGCTCACAATCAAATCGCAAGTATAGGGTAGCTCCTAGAGTGTTTACGGTATTTTTAATTGGTGCTATTGTCTCAATAAGTGAAAATCTAAACGTCGTTTTTTTGTACATAATTCATTATTACCTTACAACAGTCACACTGATCCACTTTTATCAAATTACATCCTGAAACATCTGGACATGAATCCTTATCACAGGATCCACACAGCGGTGTCTTTTGAGTTTTTGCATTTAAAACTATGAAGAGAGAAAAGAGTACAAAAGTACATCTGGACCAATTCATTTCAACAATTCACCATAACCGCCTTATGCCGTTCTTGTGGCGGAGCCGCGCGTAATGAATTGCCGTCAAGTTCTGAAAATTTTAAGATCGATTTAAGAGAGGATGAAAACATCTATAAAAGTGTAGAGAAGAGAAAAAGAGACACAAGATTGTCGAGTCTCTCTCTGACAAATGAACTGTACCAATGTAGACTCCGCCCACAAAAAAACGAACTGCGCAGGATCTTCTTTTGGTGAAAAAGTACAAGAATCAGAGAGATTCTAGACAACGAAAGTGATCCGTCGATCGGTGAAGAAGCTGCACTGTCAAAGAGAAAGAACACAAAACGAGCAAGCAGGGAGATGAGAAAAAACGGTCTCTGTTGACATTGGGCGAAAGACAAAATGATGAAGGTGCGCGGAGAGAAATAGGTAGGAGCCACAGGAGCTCGTAGTATACCGAAGTGGCGCCGGATGGATTAGAATTGGGCAACAATAACAAGTCAGTTTAAGAAAAACACTATTTTGGAATAGTTTATTGAGAGGTTGAATACATCTGGTCACCTTAATTCGCAAATAAAATAAGGTGTATTAACAACTGGAGAAGATCTATTTTTTCTCAAAACTTTGTTTGCTCAACGACATCGAAACTAGATTTATCACAAATAACTGTTCACATAAACCTACATAGTTTTAGTTGAGCAATCAGGGACGTAGAAAACCAGTGAAGATATATGTATTCTTCATCTCATGAACCCTTGCTGTAGTAAAACATGAAGGATACGTGAGTACCAGAAATGTCCAGAATGACTCTTTTGTGAAGCGAAATCCGGTATAAAATATGTTTCTCGGAACTCGGAATATCGGAATCAGAAATGTTCTACCGTAATCCAATAATGAACATACCGCAAGCACTCAAATACAATGCCCCCAAGTCGTCAACTTTGAGCTCTTATATCGCATTCCTTGTAGAAGATATAAGAAGATGAAAATTTCAAAATTTTAAACATTCGTTTGAATAGAGCCCAGCCTACAAACTTTTCTGTTGGTTCACCGAAATATAAGGAACATAGTTATTTAGGGATTTATGTGTGAGAATTATACTTCACAAACATTTTTTGACCATTTTCATCATAAAACAATTCAATTTTGTTTTTTTTTACTTTTTTTCATAAGAAATTCAGGTCAACAAAACAGTAAAAAACTTATTGAAGAAAAGTAAAAAAAACAACAAAAATAATAACGTGAGATATATTTCCGTGAACCTACAGAACCGTTTTAAGGGCATAATATACTTTTTGATACCCCAAACGTGTTAAAACGGTTTACTTGAAAATCTTGTTGATTTTGAAATTTCTCAATGTTTTCAAAAATCAACATGATTATCAGATAATATTACAAATATGTAGCTAGAAATATTTCTTGCCTTTTTCAAAAATTCACTTTGAATCACAAAACACGATATCCTTACTAGTAAGGGAGCCCATTTTCAGAATGAAAAATATGTGGATTTCAAAACTTCACGATATTTTTCGAAAATTAGCAGATTTACGTGAACTTGATATTTTTTCGCTCTCACAAAATTCCCAAAAGCGATCTCGAGATCGCTTCTGTAGGTTCACGGAAATATATCTCACGATATTATTTTTGTTGTTGTTTTTTTTTTTACTTTTCTTCAATAAATTTTTTCTGTTTTGTTTACCTGAATTTCTTATGAAACAAACATTATTCACCTTATAAACGAGTGAAGTATCGTATTCAAGAAATTTCTGTGAAAATCTCTCCACCAGACAAGAAAAAGTTACGAATTGCCTAAAGTTAGTTTTTTCTGTATAAAGTATACATATTTTACTAAATTGCAACGAATTTTGAGACAGAGTTAGAAATTTTCAAAATTTCCCCTTCTTATATCAAAAGGTGGTCCACTGATAAAATGTTCTTCATAATATCAAAACTGTTTTGTCAGTTGACTAAATATTTATATCTTTCACAAGAATCGAGATAATTGAGCTCAAAGTTAACCGTCTGGGTGGGCTTCTATTAAAGGAAATACGGTATTTAAGTATTTTATTTCAGAAAAGAAAACAACACTTAAACATGAATCCAAAGTAAAATAAAAAAGAGAGCTACTTGTTCGGAACAATCTTTGAAATTGGAAACTTTACTTACCGTTTGGCTTGAAACTACTCTGTCTTACGAGGGTTCGAGTGTGAGGTATCATCACATGAGGCTCCGCCCATCTTTTTTCCCTAAACTCCGAGCGAAAATATAGTGCCAGAACTCTAAAAGATACAATAAGAACCACTAAAAACACCTATCATGATATTAAAATCTCAATAAAAAAGTACCTGAGTTTTGACAGTTTTGAAGTTTTTATGTGTTCAAAATGCTCTTATCAAGTAGGCGAACAACGAGGAGAAAATGGGTAAAAAAACGAGGGACTTCAGTAGATTCCTCTTTATCTTCAAAATAAACCGGTAAGGAACGGTGTGATAAAAAAAAGGAAAACTAGGTGTTTTGTTATTAGTGTGTAAGAAAAAAGAACTGAATTTCAGATTGAGAAAAAGAAAGATAGAAAATGAAAAAAGAGGTTATGATTGAAGAGAGAACGACTGGAACGGAATGCTTCTTTCAGCAAAGAAAAATTGCAGTATTTTCCTTTTGAAGTAGCTCCAAATATTACTGTGTCACTCAGAAATTCTTATTTGAAAAGAAAGAGAAAAAAAAACAGTTTGAAAGTGTTGAATAGATACTGAACTGATGATGATCGAGAGGATGATTGGCGTGAAAGGTGAGAAGATTGATTACAGTGTGTTTTGGCGTCTCGCAGTCTCTTCGGCATCTCCTTTCTGTCTTTTCTCTTATAATGCCAAACATATGGAAGAGGGGTGTGAGGAGAATTGGAATGCATTTGACTCATTTTTAGAGGTTATCAGTTGAATTCTTAACCAGCTGAAGAGCATTCTTCAGTAGCCGGAAACGGATGATGAATGGAAAAAGATAAAACATTTATGAAGCATTAAAATGGACAACAGTTTAAAATACTTTTTAACTATTAGAGATTGAGAAAATGAAGTTGAACTTGCGAATTCGATTTGTTGATCAGCTGATTTGTCACAACATCAAAAAATCTAGAAGTAAGAATTGCAAAACAAAGTGATCTAAAAATGAGAAGTATAGAAGACAAAAGGCAAACTAGTTGTAGTTGTGGAAGAAAAGGGCTCGTTAGAACCAAAAACGACTTATTTGCTTTAATAGAAGTCCACCCACGCAGTTAACTTTGAGCTCAATTGTCGCGTTTCCTGTGAGAAATTTTGAAAAGTTGATTTGTTGAAAAAATTCTGATATCTTTCACGGAAAGCGAGATAATTGAGCTCAAATTTGACGGTTTGGGTGAGCTTCATTTACAGGGAATACGTTAGCTGTAACCTGAAAAAATACTACTTTCAAGAGGTTTTTTTTCTCGATTTTTTCAATTTTAACTTTTAGGTTACTGTAGCTCTGGTTTTGAGACCTGATACCACGGTCACATGTATCTTTTTTTTGCACAACTCTATATTTCAGTTCATAAGCAAATCATTGGTTCCGCGTCACTTCGAAACTGCGACACTACGAAAACAGTCATTTCGAAACCATGGTAATACAAGCGAATGAATAAGTTTCAGACTACGAAAACAAATTAAGAGTTTTCGAATATGATTTTTTTGATAGAACACATTTTGAAATCGGAAAAGATACAAAATTTTGATTTTTTCAACATAAATTTTTTTATCTGATTTTTCAAGTTTCCGAAAGTGTACTTAAAAAGTCAAACAATTGGACCAAAACTTTAAAAAAAGACCACTGCTGCTACAGTAATCTCTTTTACCAAATGAAAAATGAATAACAGTTTTGGAATTTGAAGTCGTCAACAATAAAAAAAAACATTGGGGGATAACTAGAGGGAAGCAGTAGCAGTAGTCGTAAAAAAGTTCCAATTTGCCTTTTACACAGACGAGACCTCCCTCTCAGTTTGATAGGTTGGTCAGGCGACGAAAGGACACTAAAATGCATTTTAGAAGTACCCGTCGTCGGTGGCTTCTGACGGTTTCGATCGACCACTGATTTATGGGGGCCAATTGAAAAGAAACCCATTTCAATCAAAGTGATTGAGAAACATGGAAAACACGACTGGGGTGGGCTTATGAATCAATAGGAAACTGAACTGATGGATGGATAACGAACTGTTGCAAAATCCTCAAATATGATCAGGTAATGAGGAGAACGAGGAGGACACGGGCCTGAAGATAACGATTATCCGTTATGGTGGTTGAGTGTCCGTGTCTCAAATGCGGGTCATCACTATCGAATCATTCTTTTTGCTGTTGCCCTTTCTCTGGATGATTTCGGTTTCATTGAATGGAAAAAAAGGAAGACGACGTAATCTTAAACCAAACGTAGGAAGTGAATGAATTCAAAGTGGAAAATGTATTTACAACAGAGAATGATGGATTCGGGGGGTTGTTTGGTTTAAGAGATAATCGGTAGAATAGGAGAGTGGGGAATAGGATGCCTATAGAAAATAAATTAGGTAACATGTTAAGGAATATATATGTATGGGAGACAATGAAAAACGGGGATAAGTGAGCATAAAGCACTTCAAACAGAAACACGATTATAATTCACAACTTTTTAAGCCTTGATTCCAAGTTTGGCCATACATCTCGCGATGCCACCCTCTTCGTATTCTTTTTTCGATACCCAGAAGTCCTGATCACGATCTTTCATCAAGTTAGCCAATACAGCTCCTCCAAGGAAAACCATGTGCTTACGACTTGGAGGCGCTTCAATGCGAATTTTGAATTTCTGAAAAAAAGTGACTTGAAGATTTTTTAGTCTCATTCAAGGACGTTGCCACGCCTCTCGAAGAAGGATGTAAGTGAACACTGAAGTGATGGGGCGGAAGACATACAAAGAAGTGTTCTTTAAGGCCTCACACGAAGAAATAAAATGCATTTAGTTAACACATCATCAAATCATTTCGGACGACGGACCCCGCCATTCTTGGAATTGGAGTGGTCATCTAGTGAAATAGAAAACGGACAAAGCTATCATGTTTAAGGCAATAACATTGATTTTTCGTTAAAATTACCTGGAAAGCGTCGGTGTTTCCGTGCAACACACGATCCAAATACAGCTGTTTCAGCTCTTTCTCGAGCCGACTTGGCAGACCAGGATACATGGTCGTTCCACCAGACAAAACAATATGTTTATAGAAGTCGAGGCGAGTATCTGAAGAGGAATTGATCTTTTTTAACTGATATTATTGTTGTCTGAGAAAAAAAGGTTGAGACGCAGAGAAAAAGTAACTGCGTCTCCACATAGTTTTATTTAGGCGCGTCGCTTCGATATCCCTACCGTATTCAGACTGCAAAAAATACTCTCTAACCTTTTTTTTCTCAGACAACAATAATAGTTATAACTTTCGCATACCAATGTCACTGGCTTGAATACATCCAAAAAGTAGTTCTGAGAGGCCAGCTTTCTCTACATTGATCAAATGGGGTTGGAAGAGAATCTCGGGAGCTTCGAATCGCTCCCCACCAAGACGAATCACACGACCATCAGGCAACGTGTACTGTTGTGAGAGAACAGTCGTCTCAAGAGCCAACCGTTCTTCTTGCTCAACATCATATGCAATATAGCACAACTTCTCTTTCATTTGGCGGACAGTTTCGAAATCCGCAGAATGATTGAAATTGTATCCCCTTTGAAGGAGAAGCTGAAAATATCGTATTATTTCAAAGATTCAGCTTTAAGATGTTCCTACCTTGATCAGGTACTTCGTAATATCTCTTCCTGCGATATCCAGACGTCTTGTCAAATGATGAAGAGCGAATCCTTCGTAAACAGGGCAGATGTGGGTGACACCGTCTCCTGAATCGACTACAACACCTGTCAAAAGTCCCTGCGCGTACAGAGTGAGCACAGCCTGAAAATAGGGAACGTATGCAAATTTAAAAACTTCTCATTATCTTGCCTGGACAGCCACATAAATCGAGTTGAACCCATACTGCTCAAACATTACTTGAAACATTTTTTCGCGATTGCTGTTTGGGTTGAGTGGTGGCTCAGTGAGTAGAAGTTTGCACTCTTTCGGATCGATGTCTAGTTTTTCCGGACCGAAAGTGTGATCCCACACGTGACCCATATCATCCCAATTTCTCACTATTCCGTTATCCATTGGATAGTTGATGTCGAGCATCTGACGGAGTTGAGAACACTCTTCACCAACCATCAAATCATGAAAATGGAAAAAAATGAGCACGAGTCTTATTCTGTTAGTGCAAACCTTGATTTCAATGTTTCCAACTCTTTGCGTCGATCTCACGATGGGACGGCCCACCATCGACGGGAATATGTGAGCAGGGAAGTTGGTTCCAGCATACCCGCATTTGACAAACTACAAAGATGCTTTAGTTTTTCTTTAATTCAATGTTTAAAATAAAATTCTGAAAACTTACACCTGTTCCGTTGTCGACGACTATAACCTTCCGGCCTTGCGAGTCCATGTCGCCTGTAATGAAATGGTTGAATCGATCGTATGCTTTTCGGATGAGTCATCGCGAGGAGAAGAGTAAATAAATGACAAATTTGGCAAGTAAGTATCGATTGAATGAGCTATTTACAAAATCAAAAATATTTACCAGAAAGAAAACTTTTTAAAAGATAAACACATGTTCAATTAGGTCGTTCATCAAGAAAATATGAATTCTGATGTGAAACATTGCAACGACTAGGTCTCTAGTTATCAAAGTATTATGAAACAAGTGGACCTTGAAAATTTGGAAAAAGAATAAAAGAAGTTTTCTTCTGAATGAAGAAAATAAGAGAACAATTATGAGATTTAAAAACAATGAAAACGAATTGAAATTCAAGAAGAGAAAGCATGCAGATTGCATGCTGACAACTAGGAGACGCAGAGAAATGGTCAAGGCGATTAGCGATGGAGCGCACCTATAGTGGGGAAAATCAAACGACGCCGTAGAGACGCAGAGACTGATCGGAAGTTAGGTATGTTTTGATAACAGCATTTTACTTATCAATGAAAACATCAGAAGCTATTCACTTTCAGAATTGCTAAGCAATATTTATAGCAAGAGTTCAGCCAAACATCATTTGAATTCTTTCGTATCCAGTAATGAATACTGTAACATCTATGTGCTCAAGTTTGATATATTGAGCAAAAAATTAGGGTGAATGTTGCACTTTCTATCTTTGAATATTCCTCGAATGACTATGCTATTTCAAACTATATTTGTCTTTTTGTCATCTCCCCACTGTTAATTTTCTCTTGATACATGTTGAAACGTTCAGACTATGTCACGCTTCACTCGAGTAGTCGGAGGCGCTTTCAAATTTACTGATGGATTTGAAATGCCAAAAGTCGGACTTGGAATCTCCCGAATTCCAACTCAAGAGGCTCTTGATGTATCCGTAGAAGCCGCTTTGAAATCCGGATACCGATTGTTCGACACGGCTAATTTGTACAAAAATGAGCATTATCTTGGAAACTCCCTCAAGGTAACTCTTTAGATTCTAAATTCAATATCTAAAAACTTTTCTCAGAAATATCTTCCAGCGTTCGATCTCACTCGAGAAGACGTTTTCATCACCACAAAAGTTCGCACTCTGAATGAGAATACAGTTGAGGAAACTGAAAAACAACTTGCCAATTCGTTGTCTTCACTTCAAACAGAGTAAGGTTTTTAAAATTAAAATAACCATCATTTACAGTACTCCTTTCCAGTTACATCGATCTTCTTTTGGTACATTATCCACGCGATCGTGATACTGGACATGACGATGACTATGAAATCAACAAAAATAGAAGAAAGATTGTATGGCAATATCTTGAAAAGGCACAGGGTAATTGGCATATATTTCCTTAGTGGTTATATAGAATCCTCATTTACAGAATTGGGAAAAGTGCGATCGATTGGAGTCTCCAACTATGAAGTGTACCATCTTGTTGAAATGTTTGAGTATTCGAAAGTCCGTCCAGTGCTGAATCAATATGAATACCAACCATATCTAACTCGCCCAACTCTCAAAAAGTTCTGTGATCTGAACAACATCGTCGTCCAATCTTACTCTTCTCTCTGTTGGGGAAATCAGGAGATTCTTCAAGAAGAAGCTCTTCTCCAACTCTGCCAAAAGTATAATCAAACACCACAAGCCATTCTCTACGCATTTGCCTACTGTAGCAATACATCCATGATTCCCAAATCAGCAACACCTTCAAGAATTCATGACAACTTGCATAATGTAAAAACTTCATATCTTCCTGATCAATGAGTTTATATTTTTCAGACTATGCAAATTCATTTGAACGAGGAAGACTTAAAATCACTCAGATCCTTGGATAAAGGAAAGTCCTTCTTACCAATTGGACAAACTTGGAGATGTTTATAACTGTTTCTGAAACTATAAAAAAATTGTTTGGGCTTTTTTGCTGTATAAATGATTTTTAAACGATATAATTTGCAACTGCCACCCATCAGTTTGATTTTTTCTTAATATTCATTGTCATACAGTGCGTTGCAGATTCTTATGTTTAGGGCCATAACTTGAAAGCTATTAGAAGTATCGACCTAATTTCTTTTGCAACCGTTGCAAGTTTATACGTCCACACCAAAGTTCAGTATAGATCACGACCTCCAGCGAAGACGGAGGTGTCTAATTTTGATTCTTCCTTCTTGGAAACGGGCTTGGAAAAGAGAAAAATAAAATGGAAGATGTAAAAAAGGGATTTATTGAAAAAAATTTGAAATATAGATATTCCTGAACTATCAACAAAAAATTGAAAAATGACAAGTTTCAAAAGTGTACTGATTAGCCAGACTTCCGTCTGTTGATCCCTTTCGCCACGTAGAGGCTCAGTACATGAGAGGGAAAATGGGTTTTCACTGGGGGAAAACACCAACACAAAACCCCTGTCTCCGAGGAGACAGTTTTCCAATTTTCAATAGTTCTTTTTCACTCCTAAGAAGCTATACGATCGCTATTTATTGTTTTTTTTTCTTTGTTACTTTTTTCTTTGATTGAGTCTTTTGCAAAAGGGGGACGTTCAGTGAAAATGAATTCACCTAGCCATGAACCACCAAACATGGCGACCCTTAGGGCCTTTTGTAACTTTTTTCGCATCCGACCAATCGAAAGAAAAAAGCAAATGAAACAATAAACAGCTTACGCAGGGAGCTTCAGGGCAGTCAAAAAGTGCTAGTGAAAATTATCAAACTAATTCAAAAAGTGGGATTTCCCAAAGGACTGTTTTTTGCTTCAATACGTGGAATGTTCTTAACGTGGACAGAGGTGAAAAACTAAGGACGAACGAGTAAAAACTAGGCTCAATCGCGCCGAAGGCGCACCATCTGTTGTTTTATTTATTGGGCAATTATCTCGATTCCTATAAAAGATACTCGAAATTTGTCAACTAATAAAATTTTAGTGGTATAAACTGTGATAATTTTGTCAGATTCTTTTTTAGAATGAAAAACATCCATGCTAAGGTTATTTTGGTAGATCATGTTAAATTTTAACACCTTCCCCAGTTGGATTCGATGCACTTTTGAAAGAAGTGGAGACAACGCACTTTGTGGTCGTCGGTAGTTGTCGGAGCTAGGGCCATGATTGCTCTTTCAATGCCTGGATCAGCTTTGAGACTTCTCTAACCCGTCCACTTGATGACTTCAAGTTACGACTCCTGGTTGATACCATTACACGACTTCAAAGAGTTTAAAACTACAGTACTGGTAGAGGGATGGGACCTTGAGGGCAGGATTTGAGCTGATCCTTTTTTTTCTTTGAGCTGATCCTGATTTTTTAAAAGCTTTTCCAGAATCAGTCGGCAAAAGGTCCCATGTCATGATACAAACGGTGGTACCAGGGATGAGAACTCGGAAAATGAGAACTGCTACAAATAAGAACACACACACAAATAAGAACTCGTAAAATATATGTCGAAACCGGAATTTTTTAGAAAATCATGAAGTATTGTGAAGAACGAGACCATTTCGATAGTATTTTTCTGAAAAAAGTTAAATCCTGAACTACGAATAAGAGCCGGAAAACGAGTTCTCATTTGCAAGTTTTCATTTGTAGCAGTTCTCATTTTCCGAGTTCTCATCCCTGGTACCACCATACAAACTCAAAGAAAGAGAAACACGTAATGAAAACAACTTTTTACAGTGATTTTAGTTGTACAGAATCAAAATTGGACACCTCCGCCTTTGCTGGAGATCGTGATCTACTGATCTTTGGAGTGGACGTATAAACTTGCAACGGTTGCAAAAGGTATATTTTCAGACTTTTCCAGATAACTCGGGTAGTTTTCAAGGTTTCAATACAAAAATTGTCCACTAGATTTAGTTTGTTGTCTCGAATCCGATTTTCAAAAAATTAGACCGATACCTCTAACAGCTCTCAATTTATGAGCCTCAACATGGGTAGACGTAAGAACTTGCAAAGCACTGTATGAATATATTCAGATACTGGATATCGAAAATTCTAGAATTCAGTCATAACTTTTCATAATAGCAAAATCAACAAACGAATGAATCCCTATGCATCATCCATCCAATCGTAACCTTAGACCGTGTTTTATTCTTATTAGGTTTGAGATCAGTTTTACATAAAACCATTTTCACACTAAACACAGAAACTATGTATTCCAGAGTATTTAAAAAAAATTGAGACCACCCATATTTGAAATGCTGCATTTTCCAGTTCTCTTAATCAGACAAAGAATATTCCACAGCCAAACCATGAAATTATAGCTCAATTGGTTGCGATGTACCATTGATCCATTCAAATGTTCCCCGAATAACCGTACATGTCATCACCAAATTGGTTTCATTGATTTCATTGCAACAAACATCACTCCCCAACTTTCAAAAATTGTTCATTGGAACTTGTCTTGTTTGTTGAATCACTATCTTTCCCGTCTGTCTTTCGCATTTATAGGGTTGACATTTCTTCATTTTTCAGTCATCACATTCAGTTTTCTCTTGACACATATTGAACCCTTTAGACTATGTCCCGTTTCACCCAAGTCGTCGGAGGTGCTTTCAAATTCAGCGATGGATACGAAATGCCAAAAGTTGGACTAGGAATCTCTCGGATTCCAACTCAAGAGGCCCTTGATGTATCCGTAGAAGCTGCTTTGAAATCCGGATACCGATTGTTTGACACTGCTAATTTATACAAAAATGAGCATTGTCTTGGAAACTCACTCAAGGTAACTTTCTGTGTTCGCGCTTCAATATCTGACAACTTTCTTTCAGAAATATCTGCCAGTGTTTGGTCTAACTCGGGAAGACGTTTTCATCACCACAAAAGTTCGCACTGTGAACGAGAATACAGTTGAGGAAACTGAAAAACAACTTGCCAATTCGTTGTCTTCACTTCAAACAGAGTAAGGTTTTTAAAATTAAAATAACCATCATTTACAGTACTCCTTTCCAGTTACATCGATCTTCTTTTGGTACATTATCCACGCGATCGTGATACTGGACATGACGATGACTATGAAATCAACAAAAATAGAAGAAAGATTGTATGGCAATATCTTGAAAAGGCACAGGGTAATTGGCATATATTTCCTTAGTGGTTATATAGAATCCTCATTTACAGAATTGGGAAAAGTGCGATCGATTGGAGTCTCCAACTATGAAGTGTACCATCTTGTTGAAATGTTTGAGTATTCGAAAGTCCGTCCAGTGCTGAATCAATATGAATACCAACCATATCTAACTCGCCCAACTCTCAAAAAATTCTGTGATCTGAACAACATCGTCGTCCAATCTTACTCTTCTCTCTGTTGGGGAAATCAGGAGATTCTTCAAGAAGAAGCTCTTCTCCAACTCTGCCAGAAGTATAATCAAACACCACAAGCCATTCTCTACGCATTTGCCTACTGTAGCAATACATCTATGATTCCAAAATCAGCAACACCTTCCAGAATTCATGACAACTTGCATAATGTGAGTTTTACAATATCAAGTGTCTATATCAAACCAAAATCAATTTCAGACTATTCAAGTTCAATTGACCGAGGACGATCTGAAATCCCTCAGAGCTTTAGACAAAGGAAAATCGTTCCCACAAAAAGGAAAAACTTGGAGATGTTTATAGTTATTTTATGAATTTTGAAAATCATGGTTTTTGCTGATTGTGAGTAATAAAAAGTTGTTTTTCTTTTTTTCCTGCAACTCCATCCAGCTTAAATGAATGATACTCTCCACCGTAAAAACAAATTCAGATTAGGCTTAGAAACGAACACCGAAGTGGGTAGTATTCATCAATCCATGATTATTTTGCATGATTTCAAAAAGAATCTACGAACACTTTCAGAAGAAAAACAAAACTTGAAGATCAGTATGGAGATCTTTGCTACCTGTTTTTTGAGTCGCTGTGGATGTAAGATTCATCACCTCGACTCATTTTCAGATCATTTGGTATGTAATTTTGTGTAATTGATACAGCTATGCCTGGAATTTAGGTACAAATTTCTGAAAATCAAAGAGATTTGAATCACCTGGCAACTACAAAAGAACATCGTATAGTGGAGACGGCGTACCGAGTAGAACACAGAACACGTATTTAGTAATGTCTTTTGTTTTGTATTCAAAAAATGGATCTAGACAGAAGACTGAAAAGTATAAACCGTTTTTACTAGAATGATGGTTCTCAATAAAGATTTGATGTTAAACTAGATAAATATTCATAGAAATTATTGAGTTAAAAATCAAGTACAGAAGAAAGCCATGGATTTGAAAGATTCGACACCAAGAAATCAAAAAAACTCTTAAACTCTCAGAATGCCTGGCAAAAATTATTATAGAAGGATTGTTTGGTTTTCTTAAAGTTCTTCATCATAAATTCAGAAGCTTTTGAAAAACAACTAGATACAAATTTTTACCAGCATAACATTTGAGTGAAGCATTGTTCTGGACTGAAATTTGGAGTGCAAAAATTCAAACTATTCATCAGTAAACTAACCAAGTTTCAAATTATTTTATCAACTTTAAGTTCAGTTATCACTTGTCAAAGTTGCTTCCTCTCATATAAAATCACATCGATGTACAGGAAACATCACGTCGCTCATCTTTGGACAATCGTAACAATACCTAGACTTGAGGAATTGCTTTGAAAAATTCAGAAGTCTTGAATCAAACGTGAAATTATATTTCTACCAGTTTTCATGCTTCCAAGATACTTGTGTCTGAAGATATACTCGATTTTATCAGTCCGGATAATTGTGCGCCACCCTGCATACGTTTGCGTTTCCTGTTGTCGTATTCCAACCCAATTTCCAGTTCCGTTTTTTTCCTTTTTTGAGCGTGAGAAACCTCCATATAGCATTATTTTTCTCACACTGAAAATCAAACTCATTTTCACACAACAATCAGTCACTTTATTCGTAGGAATAGAGAGAGAAAAGAATCACAAAATGTACAAAATGTAGTGGTGTGTACGAACGGAACTTAAGAGAAGAGGAGAAGACGTTTGAGGTGCTGCTTCGGGAATTACTTCTTTCTTCCGAACAAGATTCCTTTGAATTGTCCATTGGCAGTACGTTCCTTCAAGCTGCGGATTTTCTGATCGATGGATCTCTGAAATTCAAATGACAATAGACAACCCTCTTTTGAATCCTTCCAACCTTATCCGAAAGAATCGGGACGAAGAAGCGTTGGTCCTCAAGTTGGAATGGGGCAGACAATCCAGCGTCTTCCTCCCAGTATTGGTTCTGAAAAAATAAACAGATCCATTAAAAAACACTCAGTGATTTTTCTTCGTTTAACTTCCTGCTGAGTGCTATTTTTTTTTGAAAGCATTTCAAAACTTTTTGGCTCGGAAACCGACTCAGAAGATCTCCAAAGAAAGCAATTTGCAAAGGAGTTCAAAGTGCTTTTGAATTATTGAGAAAGTGATGAAAGACCGTAGTTTCTGTCCCTTACTTCATTATGTGCTTTGTTCGCGAGTCAAAAAAAAGAAAATTGAATTGAAATTCCCGCGAACTAGATATTTATCTAAGGAGATCATAATACGCTTTGGGTACAAAATCAGAAACCACAATCTACGGAATGATGTCTAGTTTTGCGTACTATCTGGGAATTTTTTTCGAGATCTATATCATCCGAAAAGACGTGGATCATAACCCAGTATTACATCAGAAGAAGTGACCAGAAAACCTTCTGACTATAAACTGTGCTTCATACTTGGCATGAATAACATAACTAATGATAGTTTATATCATAAAAGTTGTATGATCACTATGTAGGAGTTAAAGTTTGTTTTTGTGGTTTCTTGGAGTTCGTAGACAGACTTATAATTTTAGAAATATTTCGTACAGTAGTTTCTCATATATGGCTTCTTCTTCTAGGATGACAAGTAAAAGAAGCCGCCTCCACTCAGATGTTTCGTTTCAATCATTTTGAAATCCCATTTAGTGTGTGTCCGAAGAACAAGAACATGAATGTGAGGCTTCTCGTGGAAGTTTAGAAGTTTAGAGTAACAACTGATCAGATGTAGATTTCTCACGCCAAAGATCTTTTCAGAGCAAGTCTGAAATCGTGGGTGTGAGAAGCGGAAGTTTCTAAAAGAGAAGAAGACGGTTATTAAAATTAATTGTTGTTGAGAATCTCAACTTGAGATGTATTATGAGAAGCTTCTAGAAGCAAACATCCGGTTAAGACTAAAACTTACTTCATGGTCCATGTGATTCTACGAAGCCCCATTTTGCCTACAATCGAAGTTTTGGAATTACTAAGAGTGACCTGCTGAATTTTTGTAAGATTAAACTCGGTTTTCAGTTGCCGTTTGCACGGTTGGCCTAATTTTTTCAGGAAGTGAATGACGTGTTCAAAATTTGAAAACAAAAACGGATTGTGTTAAGGATTTGGTTATAAAACAGATTTAAAATGCGTAGGTTTACAAATAATCATTCTCAGAATAACACGATTCTTAGAATCTTGAAATTTCGTCTAAAGATCATCGAAGATCACACCCAGAATTTTGGGAATTTAATTACAAATTCTAGGAAGTTGGGAAATGTCACAAAAATTAAACACTCTAATAGAGTGCCACCCAAATCAAGATCATACAAAGATCAGACCCAGAATTTTGAGAATCAAATTACCGAGATGAAATCCGATATATGAAAAAGAACTACGCGATGGAGCTTACACAGAAACTGAGAATTCGAAAATATGTGATTCCTAACAAAGACCATGTCAGACATGTTTTTTTCTTTGTTCCTGAATTCCAAATCGGTTGAACTTCGTCGAATATTCAGAATGACTAAATCAGCTCTTTTCAGATCCCGACTTTCTGCCGTTCTCTTGAGTTTTGAATCTTAATGATCCTATTCCCATTACTCATATAGATTCTCATCTGTCTTGTTCCCGTACAGGTGAAATTGAAATGTACAAATTATAGGGGAAAGAGAAAAATACATCAGAAGTACAACATGAGGATTATGATTAATGGAATAATACATGAATATCCAATTCAGGAGAGATTTCGTGAATTTTTGAAGGTTACTTTCTTAGAAATGATGCAAATCCTTTCTTGATTGGTGGTATTATGATGGGAGTGCAAATTCGTAAAGCAAAGGTTATCTGATGCTTTTTGAAGGTATTTTTGGCCCATTTGAAAAAAAGAAAAGCAGATGAATCTTTAGATTTTTCCAAAACGTTTTTTTAGGAATGCAGGTACAAAACCATAAGACTCGGCAGTTCAGTTTGAAGCTGTCTTGTCAAGACCAACGTTAACTTTGTATATTTGCGTTCGAGCACATTTAAATTAATTTCCGAAAAAAAATGCTCAATTACTAATTTTGGTATGAGAAACCATACATTCTGTTTATCGGTGATATTTTGAACAAAAATTGTGTCAAATTTAGTTTTTTTTTTTCATTCAGTGTTCCGTTCACAAAACACAATTCACAGACTATTATCCAGAGAATGACAAATGAATTTTAAACGAATTGGGTGTACACTAAAAACAGAAAATATATTCCGGACCCGTATTATTTTTATGACCATATTTTCAATGGAAGACAAAATGTATTTTTTGACTGGACCAAGCAATAAAATGAAAATAATAATGTACCTGGGCAAAAGCGACGACAAGAAGAGCGACGAAGAGCACAAAGAGTCGGCAATTCATTTTTGAGTGAAGACCAAAATGAGAACAATCTGAAAAATAAAGTTAGAAAAGTAAAGTGCGAAACTCATTTCAGACAAAAAGTGACGCGAGACCTGTTTATGAAGACTCGAAATCTAAACTGAAGTGCTGTGAATATTCCAAGCTTTCGCCGTTGTTCTCTTGGCTCCGCCCTCGACGGGGTTTTGACCACGCCTCCTTGCCGTCCATGACTGGCTTCGGCCAACAAATGTAGGCTACGAAATTTCCGCCCCCCCCCCCCAATATGATACTCCACGAAAGAGTCAGAGCTGTTGGTTGATAAACTTTTATTATTTTCAAAAATGGTAACAACAACAGAAAGGAAGTCAAACAGTCAACAACAACAAAATAGTTCAACATTGAGGAGTTATATTCACAAATAAAAACGATCATTGGAATGATGTGTTAATGGAGGCTACTCGTCTCCAGCCTTGCTCTTCTTCTTCTTCTTTGGTTTTGGAGCTTCCTCGTCAACCTCAGCTTCTGCTGCACCAGTAGCCATTTCTTCAGCAAGACGCTTTGCCTTTTTGGCAGCCTTCTTCTTCTTCTTGATGACCTAGAATATTGTGGATTAGTTATACATTTCCGATGCGACGGAGCATTACCTTCTCCTTGACTTCAACAGCAGCTTCCTCGGCCTCCTTCATAACATCAATGTTCTTCTTTGGAACAGTTCCGGATGTGAAGTACTCCAGTCTGTCTTCCACCTGCTGACGGAGGAACTCTCCATATGTGGAGACTGGTGTTTCAGAGAAACAGTCGACACGAGCAGCAATCGAGCACTTGTTAGCAAGATATCTCGAAACACGTCCCTTGTTTTTGGTTCCGGCCTTTCCGATGAAACTGGAATGGAAGAGGAGTCCATACTTTGGAGTATTGGCTGAAAATGTTTCCATTTCAGAAAAATCATGAATTCTTTGAACAGAGCTCAGCGAATGTATTCTTCGATGGAGAATGATTTCGCATGCAAGCTAAACGGCCAAATTAACGTCATTCACCCGCATTAAATACATGCCTATCCTAATAAAATTAGTTATTCATCGTTACTTACATCTAGTCTTCAAGGCACGGAACAATGCCTTTTCAGCACCAAGAATTTGAACGGTGGAAGCAGGGTATTTAGCCAGATTGGTGAGAGATCCTGCGTGCGAGATGAGACGAGCTCCAACTTGCTCTCCGATCAAGGCGCTGAGCGATGGTGCACAATGATCCATGCGGTCCTTGATGTACTCGTGGAGTTGTTGTCTGTACTCCATGAGGGAAGCGACGCGAGCAGCGAATCGCTTGATGTTCTCAAGATCGAGATCGGAGATATCCATTCCCATGGAAGTTCTGGCAGCCTCGATGATCTGAGCTGTCTTTTCGGCATCGTTGTCCAAGATCTCTGCAATGCAAATATGAATAAAATGTGGGACACACAAAGTGACCGAAAACATCAAAACATTCTCGGTGTCTGGCTGTCTCTATACTCTACCTCACATTTTACTAGTGAACACAACATAAAGCTAGTCCCCCGGCTTATAAGTGAGGTAAAAGTGATTAGGTATATAACTGAGTAAACTACTCACCAAGGATCTCGTTCTCGAGGTTCTCATTCTCAGCCATCTTGTTTCTGTCAAGGATCGCAACAGCGAGACGAGAATACTTGTATTGATCAGGAGCTAGACGGAAGAGCTCTGGATAATGGTACGAGTACCATTCTCGGATTCTCATTCCGAACAAGTTGATGTCCTTGTCGAGTTGATCAAGAAGGGCAATCGACTGAATGACCATGTTGTCGACTCTGTGGACATCGAATTTGACCTGCGAAATTGGTTATCAAACGGAACCGCGCATGTTAACTACGCACCTTAGAGCGAGAGTAACTGTGACCGAGAGAAAGTTGAGCTTTCGATAGGGAATGATGTGGGAGATCTTTAGCCAAACGTTCGAAATGGACACGAGTACCACGAAGAATCTAAACTCAATAATGTGGGCGATCGTCATTGGTAATAGATTTTCAAGAACTCTTGCGAGTTCATATCGAATCTTCAGTTTACCTCGGTAATAACACCACCGAAGACAAGCTTCAGGTCTGGGAACGCTTCAGTAAGCGAACCGGCAAGCTTCGAGTCATTGATTCCAAGTACAACGTGCTTTTTCTTTTTTGGAAGCTCTTTTTGGAGAAAGTTAGTGAGATCAGGATGAGCGAGACCTAGATTACTAGCATTATAATCACATCGTACCCTATTGGTCACAGGTTACCTTCAGAAATAGAGTTGCAGTTCTCCAACGCAGCCTCGGTATTCTTGAATGGATCGAACGCCTTCAACTCCACAATTTGCGAGAACTTGTATCCATCAGCATGAGCGGCATCAACCTGAGAAAAACAAGTTCGAGATGTCATAAAGCATCTTCAGTATTTTTCTACTATTGTGGGACACACATAGTGACCGAACATATCAAAATTTGCACGGTGTCTGGTTGTCTCTATAATTTTCCTCACGTTTTACTAGTGAACATAGCATACGGCTAGTCCCCCGGCTTATAAGCGAGGACACTTTTAAAACTTGGATTCTCGTACTCACCTCTTGAACGATAAGTCCAGCGTCTTCGAACTCCTTGATTTTCATCAAGGCATAACCTGCTGCGTGCTCGTAGAGCACAAAGTGTGGCACTTCCGACATGGTGAAGTACCTGAATTTTATAGTTTCAGTACAGAATTAATCTCGACCGAAAAAAAAGTTTTGTCAGATTTGATCAATAATTACATGAAAATAATAGGCCAAAGAAAAAGAGACAGCAAAGATAAAATCGCGCCAGTCAAATTCACACATCGTCTCGAGACCTGCGCGTAAATACACATGCTCCTTTAAATTGGTGGACTCCTCTCGGACAAGAGGACAGAGGGAACAAGTGGGGTTCGGTTTGGTTCTGATGGTTTGGAGAAAAAAAAATACGTCTTCAATGATAATCAACAATTGAACAACTCTGTTCAATTTAAAACTAGTTCACAGGTATTACCTATGAAATTCGAGGAGACAATTATAGGCGGTGAAAAATGGTTCGTACACCGAAAAAAGATACATTGAAAACCTTGAATGAGAATGTTGATAAAAATATGTGAAGGGGTTGAATATTTATAAATATTTATTTGAAATTTAGAAACAAACAAAAAAGAAAAATGGAAAATGGAACGAACATTTGTTATAGACTACTTGCAGTGTTTCTTTTCAAACTTGGAATTCATATAAGCAGCCATAGGATCAGCTGAGTGAACGCTTGTCATCCGGTAAGCTTCCATTTCCTTCTCGGTGGGAGCAGTGTTTGAGTAGTCTGTGTTGTACTTCCTCCCACGATCACCCTGTAAATATTTTTTGAATAAGATTAAAATTCTAAAAAAAAATTCTACCTCCTTGGCTGCTTTCATTCCTTCAGCGCGTTCTCGATTTGCTTTCTTTAATGCTCTGCGCGTCTCTTTTCTCTCTTTATCGGAGTCCGATTCGGAATCGCTGCTACCGGAAGAGTTACTGTCTTCATCTGAATCACGATGACGCCTCTTTCGTTTTCCCAATTTTGCCTTCTTTCTTCCTCGCTTCTCTCGGTTTTTGTCGCGTCTTCTTTGCTCACGTTCTCTCCGTTCCTTCTCCAATCGTCGTTCTTCTTCGTACTGTTTCATTTTTTCTTCATCGTCAGAAGGCGTAGGCGATTTAGTGGGTTCTACGGACTCTTCTTCTTCTTCAGATTCTTCTTTCACCATTTCTTCCTCCTTCACTTCTGTCGGCTCCACAAGTTTTGGCGCTTTGAACACTTGTTCATTCGATGTTGTTGTACCCTTTGCAGCACTGGACTCGGCATCTACTCCTTGCTTTCCAGTACAATACGAATTTCTCACAAATTGATGACAGCACTTGTAACCCCAGTTTCCTTCTCTCCAGAAACTACCGAAAACAGATGTATGGTTCTGTGGGTAAATATCTTCTTTGAACCGAGAACTGATAGCTGCACGCTCCTTTCCTTTGATAACTTTTCCTTTTCGATTGTACTCGATGTAAGACTCGGTTTGTGCGAGGAGAAGTTCGTCAGCAGGCCGCTCCATGTGCTCTCCACCTCCATATTTATCCAGCAATTCTTTTTGTGTTTCGTTTTTCAAGGTTGTTTTCCCTTTCTCGTATTCTTTTTTCAAGGCTTCCAGTTTGGTTGGTTCAGCAATCGAATGAGCATAAACTCCACCACGTGTAGCTTGCCAGGCAAAAACTTGAGCTTCGTTAGCCGCTGTCACTTCGCCAGAGTAGCGAACAAAGTTGTCACCTGAGAAACGAGCAGCTTCTAGTTCTTTTCCAGCTACTCCGGCAAAAGGATTTTCACGCATAGAGCGAGATTTTGGATCGTAGTAAGGAGAATTTTCAGCAAGATTATAGAGATATTTAGCAGTGTCTTCTCGAATTCTCAAGTTTCTGACAGTGATTCTCGTACGGGAATCCATGTCAACGGATACTCCAGCCATATCAGCGTCTTCTGCGTACATATCTTCGTCTTTTGGAGCTCCTTCCTCAGTTGTTGGAACTTCTGATTCTCCTTCCTTCATTTCATGTTCTTTCACAACTTTTCTCGCTTCTTCCAAATGTTCGTAATCTTCGATTACTTGTTTGTGAGTGGCAGGATCATAACCATTCCATCTGTCTCTCTTTGCATCAAAACCAAGGGACAACTTCGGTTGAACATAGTCATCTTCAGCAATGTTGGCGTTTGTTTCTCTGAAATCATTCCGTTCGCTTGAGCAATAATAGCAATTCAACTTACTTAGCATTCGATTTTCTCGGCCTATCAAAACAGTCTCTTTTCTGATGACCCATTGCACCACAGTTTTCACAAGCTCCTTTACGGAACTTGGTCGCTGATTTTCCCGTTGTTCCTTTCTGATACCATTCATGAATTTGAGTCATATTTTTCTGCCGTTCTTCATGTGGACGTTGATGCTTCAGGGTAGGTCCCTCACTGGGAACATACCACGGATTTTGAGAGATGAACATTGGAATATGTGGATTGATGTCGCGTCCAGTCTGTACGTCTACCATAGCTGGAGCCGTTCCAGCTTTACGATCTTCCTGAAATACTCGGTAAAAGTAAGGAACAATGTTTTGATAGACCTACTTCTAGTTGTCGATCCCTTTGAACTTCGGCTTTAGATTTTTTGTCGGCGAGGGACACATGTTGACGAACCACCGCCGACGGCGGAAGGTTCTGCTTGTAAGACGCCATATTGGAGTCTGAAAAATTAATTTTTATTCTGTTGAACATGTGAAAAGAAATTTTTTAAAAATTGAACAAGGAAGTTGAAGTCAACGTTATGTCTTTTCGCCGATTTTAAAAGAAAAACATAACAACTTGATAAACTAAGAAAGGTTTTTATTGAAAAAATATGATTGATTTGTATTGTCGAATTAAAAAAAGTGGGACCTGGAAAATATCGCGGCCGGCTCCCCGGTCAATTTTCGAGGCCTTGTCCCAGACGGTAGTAAACTAAACTTATTTCTGTGAATTTAGTGGGATTTTCTGAACAAAATTTAGATTTCTTGGTAGGAAAATGATCGCTAGCATCTTTAGAATTGTTTTTCATCGAAAAACCGAGCTCAATTGCGAAAGTAGCTCGAACGAGACAAAAATCTGAAATATTACGTTTTTGCCGCACTTTTTCGTAGATCAAAAAAAGCTACGCCTTTCAAATTTTTAGGTCCCTTTTTTTTTAATTCGACAATATGAAATTATCAGAAACTGCTGTCAAACGATAGAAAAGTAAAAAATTCAATCTCTCCCTTTCGAAAAGAATTGTCCACTTGTAGTACACGAGCGCGCGGCCGTAGTTTTCTTGTGACTTCTCGGCCACCTCGAGAACGTTTGGCGCACGGCCTCCCGCACGAGAAATGCACCATGGCGCCCACTGAAAAGGCGATGCGCTGCGTCTTCCGCTCTCTAACGCGTGTTAATGGAGCGCGATTGCGACAAAAATAGAGACGTTCGGAGACCCCGCAATNAGAAGAGAGACAACCCGAGGGAAAGAAAACATTCACCGGAAGAAAATAGTTTCCGTTACAGGAAGATATTAGAATGTGAATCATTGAGAAGTTTCATAGCACGTGTAGGAGAACATGGACCAAGGACCGATGTACTGAAAGAGGATCCAAGTTGAACTTAAATTTTAAAAA